CTTGCATAACCCATAACATGAATGTTAACTACATCGCCTATATTTACTGTCCTATAACTGGACAATCCAAAATCCTAAAACATACAATTCGCACCTTAAACAACCTTGAGATTGTTTTAGTGATAATTTTACTTATCTTCTGTATTACCAGCTATAGTGCTTCCTAGCCACAGAATAGAGGAAGGTTAGTCCTTTGACAACAAAACAGTAAAACTGTTGTTGTTTTCCCACTCATTATAGAATATAATGGTTTACGTAATAAATTATCTCATCAGTGAAACAAACTAACAAATTTAGTTTACCAACTTGTTGTTTAAAATCACCATTAAGCAATACAAATCTATATAAACATTTTTAGCATTTATTTCAGGAAACCAAACATAGTCAAGCACAAAGAAAAAATATTTTAAAACTAGCAAACGTCATTAATTTGTGTGTGTGTTTTTGACTAAAACTGTCAAAAATTGTCTCGGAAATCATTATTTAATGTTTTAATTTGTAATTTGTTATAGACCATTTTAATCCCCACCTCAGCAAACCTGCAGACCGTTTAAATAAATGTATGTTTACGAATTTTTATCGAATTCAATTAAAAGCTAATGATTTATATAATGTACTAACGGACACACATAATATATACAGTATTCATAAAAGTAAATTGGTCCGGGGCCTAGGTCTTACCATGCGACCTATATGGTGGTGGTAACTTTAAATACCAAAACATTAGAAATATTCACTAAAAAATGAATTTTTTGTATTTTTTTACACTAAAAACAATCTATGATCCTCAACATAACAAGATCAATTGACTAACACATCCAAATAAAAAATGTTCTCCAAGACGATCCAAAGATGCAAGGAGGTGCTAAAGAAAGTTAAGCCCAAAGCTATCACAGCAACAGGCCTTGTGGTCCGAAACATCATTGGTAATGGAAGACTTCCTGCTATCTACTGAAGGAATGATGAAGCTGCTTATAGCATATTACTTTCATGGTCATGTAAATCATTTGTGCAAATACCATTACTTTCTTTACCATTTTGATATTTGTTTTAAACCTAATAATGTGTTACCGGTATTTATACAGTTGTGAATTTACCAAACTGCTGACATTTGTATGCTTTATACAGTTGGTGTTGTAGACATATAGTTTTAATAATTTTGGTTTTGTAAGTCTAGTAATAAAATATATTTAGATTGCTTTAATGCTGTGAAAGACAGCATTGTTTTTGAACAGAGGAAAACGAGTACCTATGTTTCTTTACTCTATATGTTACTTTTTAAGCTGTCATTAAAATCGTATAAAAAAGATAATGAAGAAGTTAAAATTTTTTTTAGATTTGCGTAAAAGCCAATAACCAGTTTGACATTAAAAGCTGAAAAAGTTTGAGCTATGTAAGATATACTTTTAATGCAGAGAGCTATTTTACTTCAACTAATTCTTACAGAAACAAACAAAACAGTTTGCTTGGAAACTCTTTTGGTTTTATAGACAAGCCATTTATTGGAAGAAACAAACTGGTTGACTATAAATAACTAATTACTGGGGATTGCTTTTTATGTGAACCAAAAATTACATTTGTTTATAATTACAATACTTATTGTATTTAACTTGTTCAAACTGTCATAACACATTTTTGCTGAGTCAGTTTAAACAAGTTAAAAGAAGTAATTATAAAATGCTGAGTGCTTAAAATTTAAAATAATCTCAATACAATAATACTTAAAAGTCGTTTTCACAGATATGTTAGAACAGAACCGGTATGGATCGTAAACATAAGCAAATTATGTCACTGGCCCGAAAGTCTTGTGAAATAATTTTTTCCATATTTGACAGTATTTGAATGTACTTGAACGTGCGATTCATGCCTCACGGACATGTAATGTATTGCATGTCCGTGAATCACGAAACAAAATGAGGTAAAGCAAGAAATTAAAACTAATATATTTTTAGAAAGATTTATCTGGATTTACTCTAACAAGATAAGGAATCTCTATTTATGTTAGACAAATATTTGAAACAAACAAACTCAAAGTCAACGATAATACTTCTATTCGTTATTGTAAAAATATGTCCTACTTTGTAAAAGCTTTTAATATTTGTATCGTGTAGCTAATGTGTTATGAAATAAACCATCCATTTATTCAACTGAAGGATTTTCCGTTAGTGGCAGACTTAAAAGAGTGTAATTAAAAAAAATCATTTATCTCTATAATAAACAAATAGAATGTGCCTTTTGTATAGATGGAAAGTAAATAAATAGGAATCCAAAAGATTTGTATTACAAAAATGTTCTGTCATAATTAGTAACAATTAATTGTCCTGCACACAATAGGACAATCATTCACAATTATATTTTCTTAGAATAATCTTCTATGTTCTGTACTGTCCAGGCTTAAAAATCGCTCCAATATAATAATACCACTTTTGAAGGCATTTTAATGATAACACTTATGTTATTGAAAGATAATTAAACATGTTACTTACAACGGGGGGGGGACAACACCCATCCCTACATATTTGTTTTCTGACAGGGAGTACAGAGGGGTACAATTCCACCCCGTACATAAATATTTTTATGTTGGTAGAGGGAACAATTCCGAGGGGTACAATTCCAGTGGGGTACTTACAGTAGACTCCCTCTCATCCGGACTCCTTGGGACCGAGGCCAGTCCGGATAACGGTTTTTCCGGTTATTGTTTTAACTCGTTAAAACGGACCGTTTACGGTGATAATTGACTTAAATTTAGGAGAGCATTGTATTTAGACATGTGATCACTGGTCTTAAATCTTTCCCATGAGAACAGTCGTTTCAGTACCGCCCACTTCCTGCCGATCTAGTCCGGTTAAACCAATGTGCTGATAAAAATTGTCTGGTTAAAAAGATGTCATTTCCGTCGAGTGTAGTCCGGTTAAACCGATGTCCGGTTAAAAGGTGTCCGGATAAGAGGGAGTCTACTGTACAATTTCGGGCCGTACATCTCCTGCTCTTTTTAATTTCTAATATTATTATTCTATTCACTGACCACTTGCCCAAATTAAATAGATAAGATTCTGTTAAAAGCAAAGTGTATGGGTGGAATTGTACCCCCTCTAGGTGGGACACAAAATTACGTCAAAAATCGGTGGGAGGTACAATTCCAGAGACCAACCAGCCCAAGCTACCAGCAGGGGCGTCGCCTTGGGGGGGTAGGGGGGGAGCCTCCCCCCCCTAGAATCTGGGAAAGAGAAAAGTTGGGAATTTCCTTGCCACTAGTTGGGACAGTTGGGAAGTCAGATATTAGAAAAATATATTTTTAAACTAAACAAAATTTAAATATTTGCGCAAATCCATCAAAGATAAAAATTTCTTTGACTTGGTCAAATAAACTTGACGCTTCTTTGATTTCATTTAACTTTGATTAAACATGGCTAAACACGCCTTATTTTTGATTGAAGTTTGATTTTTGTCTAAGTTCTAGTTTGATGAAGATGAAGGTTAACATGTTTATTGTATGTATAAGTTTATTATCAACCAACGTTTTTATTTTATACGAGTCTTATTTTAGGTTTATTCTTTTCTAGACTAGAATAATATTATTCACAACACTGATATTAATAATTCATCATTACAAACTTGTTTAGGCCTACCCTAGTTGTAAGTTTTATGAAACGAAAGTTAAAATGTTGATCTTAACTTTTAAAAGTATTTTAATTTCATTATTTTGTAATAAAATATTTTTTCTATACTAATTTGTACTAACTAAGCTTATTTTATATCCCTAAAATTTTACACTGCTACGTCTGCTACCACAATGGTTTGTAAAGTTTTTTGGATTTGAAACATTACTTGTTCAAGTTTTTTGAAGTCATAAAATTTCATTATGAATTGGTAGAAGTTTTAGAAATTGAGTAATTTTGTATATAACAGCTATGTTTTGTTAATGCAAGTTTATAAATACTGAATTGAGTGTGACTGCAGTGTAGTATAAGAATTTGTAGATTTTTAAAAAATAGTACAGAAATTTATTTCTAAAAAAAATAGTTGGGAAATCTATGTTAAGCAGTTGGGAAATTTGAGGCTTCTCCCCCCCCCACCTGGAATTTAACCAAGCAACGCCACTGGCTACCAGCCACATGTAACCATTTGATCAGTGTAAAACTCAGCTTAGGAATGTTACCCCAAAAATTAAATTTTAACTTATTTTAATCTCTGAGCACTAATTCAATACCAGTTAAGTAATTCACTTAGGATAATCCATTGTGTTCTTAAAATATCTCTAGTTTATCACCAAATCTCAATGAGGTTAAGTGTTGAGGTATTTGATTTACACTTGTGCTAGTACAATTGTGGATTAAGTAGCCCTATTTTCCTTGAAAGTTGGTAGTTATTGTTTTATCTTATCTTAATTATCTTTCAAGTAATACCTAAATAACCACTAAAGAGTTGTAAAAACTGTTTTTAGCTTAATCAAAATTTTCAAGATTCTATAAATATGTTGTGAAGCAGATTATACGAAATCTACCTAAAACCTCTAAAAAATGTGGCATACAGAATAAGTTAAAAGTAAAAGAAATATTGTCTTCTTTCTTTACTAAAATATGCGCATGAAGTTTTTTTTTTAAACTGTTATAACCGAAGTTTGTACTAACGACTAACGATGTTCGACTGTACCATTGTTTTACTATTTTGATTTCTGTAGCACTAAAGAATCAAAAATATGTTTTACTTAAACACATAATATGCTGTACATATACAACTCCTATTGAATGTTTTTATATCTTTCCGTTTCCTATTGATTCCTGTTTAGTATCATAATCCATACAAACACCTATTTTGAATGAATTTATGTATTTTACTTATAAATATTTATTTCCGTACCATTAAAGATTTTTATTGTCTTAATTCACCATTGCATATTTCCTAAACTAACTTAGCTATAAAGTATTATTATGAAGAAAAAAAAACATAATTTAATTTCATCCATTAATAGTAATTTCTAAAAACTTACTCTGTTACAGGGGAGAAGATGTTGGGGGGCCAGTCATCATGGGGCCTGATGGTGCTAAGTCTGGTTATCTTCCTCCCAAACATCCGGACTAATTTTTTGGACCCTTACCTTATAATGCAAGGTAAATATCGTAATTTAAAATAATGTACATTGTCCCAAATTGAAAAAATGTTAGTTGATTGGACATGTTTGATTTTTTATGAGACTTTAACTTTGAGAGGATATTAAAGCGTTTTCACCCAATATGCGAAGTACCTTTTTAGGCTTCTCCGACATAACCAAAACACCTACTTCTGTAACAGGACTAATTAATTTAGCTCAGTGAATAAGGGCAACTGGGCTCAGTTTTGACACATAAAAAAGTTATTACTGCTGTAACTAAGTTTTAGAATCAAACCAAAGTACTCATCTGATCAACAGGTACATACTCAGATACTCTGTAACTAATTTAGAACATCATACGGTCCAATGCAGTAGAACCCATTATACATACCTTGCTTTTTCAGAAGAGAATTTTCAAAGTCTTAAAAAATCTGGAGATCTTTAAAAAATGTTAATGATGTACTGTAACATGTATCTAAACCTAAACAATGAATAGACTAAACCTAAACCTAACCTCTTCTAGACCTCCAATAACAAAATTATCGTTACATTTTTGGCAAAGTGTTTGCAATATAATTTCTACAGGTAACATTTTCTGAAGGTAGCATAATGTCACTCAGCGACTCAGCACATATTAGTTCACAAATTGTTTACCATACTCAAATGACCCAATTTTTCCACTGTTACCATAAATCATGATACCAGTAACACTTTTTCTAACAGGTATTTTACTTCCTTACTCTTGTACCAAAACAAATTATTAACAGCTATAGGTATACACTATTTAACTCTTTTAAAAGAAATACACTGAACATTACAACCAATTAAAATTATGTATGTTGTCATTGGTTGACATTATGTTTTGTATACACGTATAAAACAAATGTCCCTGTGTATGTTTGTTTTGAGAAATTTTTGACACTGTTTGGTTTAAACTAAGATAGAATACTACCTTTACAGTATGGCTTTTTTGTGACCCAAAACTTATTACAAAACACAAAATAACGATCACTTGTGATTATAAGTTCTGCTATCAATTTATTTCATATTCCAAGAAAAAATTTGAAAAACTTGCTTCTTTACTAAGAGCATAAAAGTTTGCTACAGTGTGGTACACAGCTCACTGTATGGTTAAGCTAATCATTACAATGACTTGTGCTAGAACACCATTTCATGGTTTGTACAGTTGTAAAATTTGCATCTCTTTGTTTAATTAGCGCTTTTAGTTACTCTAACTTAAAACTCATTACCAGCTTCAGTCCATGACCAATTGCAATTACTTACTAGAGGGGTTGTTGCCATGTGAAACCTATACAAGTTTTAAAAACTGTATTCAGCAATACATTTTACTCTTATTGAAAAAAAAAAACAGCATCTAACGTGGCTGTAGCCTACGTCCATGAGTAACGCTTATGCTTGCCCCCTCCTTCTACAATATTCTGTAAAGTTAAATTATTGTTCTTACCTTAATATTTTTATGAAAATCCGTTTGAAACTTTTCAACACTTCCCATAAATCTATTTGAATGTAAGTTTACATATTTCTTGTCCTTTTAATAAAAGTTTTTTTCTTCAACGTTATATTATTTTATTCTACCAATAGATAAATGTGTATTCAAAAGAAAACGTCTGTAAGGTTTCCTACATTTTCTGTTAAGAATTAAATTATTATTTTCTGGATCTTCAGTTCTTTTTTGAAACATAGTTAAAGCAACTAGTACAATATATTATTTCACCTATTTTATGCCCATTTATTGACCAAGGTACCGGTATAACATTTAATTTGTATTATTTAGAAAAAATTTAACATATATTCAATCATGGTAGACATATCAATCAATTTGTACCTTTTTACTAAACTCCACTCTAATAGAAATAGTCTGCATAAATTAAAATACAATAAACCTTGACATTTCTTATCATTGATAGTCAATAATTAGTGGCAAAGTTCAAACTATGATTCATTCACAGTTCAGGTCAACGTTATTGAGAGCAAAACAACCTCAATTTAATAATTAAAGCTATTAGTGGCCAAACTGTTTTGAACATAGCTTAAGCTTTGAATTAGTAGGTAACATACATTAACAATGTTTGTAGAGGATGTGTTTTAGTTATTACAGCATTGTATTTTAGGATATATGACATTAAAGTTAGATTAAATATATACTCTGTGAATCCCAAATAAATGATTGGAACATTTATGTTAAAGTATTATGAAATAAAATGTACAGTATGGAGTAAAAATTATCATTTGAATATTTGAATTATTAAGAATGTAGAGACCGAGGGCGTAGGTTTTAAAGCATTTTTGATAGGATAGCAGACTACGGACTTACCTGAATGAAAAATTCCATCCTGACAAAAAAAAAAAAAAAAATACTCCCGCCGCAGTAAACCTGCAGAATAAGCGAATTTCCATTTGCCTGATTGGATTTACACTAAAATGTCTACTTAAAAATATCACATTTATTCCCTATTTAAATAGAATCAGTTTAACTTGTACTTAGGTTTGCTGCAACAGGGAGGGTAAAAGTGTTTTTTATGTAAAATGTTAATAGTTAGTAAGAAATACAAACATTTTCTATATTTGGGCAAAATATGTTAGTAAACAAGCAAACAACAACAGTTTACTTATTCTCCATAAGAATAACATGGGAATTTTTAATTTACAAATTTTTGGGATTTTCTCCGCAACCATTAGGCGCATTATAACGCTTCAGTATACTAAATTATTTGTTTTTTTAAGCTCTACAAAATAGTTTGGAAAGAACGTGCAAAATTTTATGTTTTTTGGGTCAAAAATGGGAAAACCCCATTTTTACCCCTATAAAACCCCCCATAAACCCCCGTTCCCATGGTCCAATCATGCTGGTTCGCGAATTCGTTGGAATAAACGTAGGTTTACACGTTTGTACCAAATTTCATCAAAATCGGATCATTTTTGCTCGAGTTATCGCGCTTACGGACATATATATATATATATGAATTTGAACGGATGGTGTTTTTGGCCTCTAGGGACCATAAAACGAAAAAAAATCAGTCCCGGGTCCAGGTCTTACCATGAGTACTACGGTAATAGCTTATTCCCTATATGGGAAATTCGCTAAAACACAAACACCTTTCCCTATGAAAAATATATTAATATTTAACCTCTGGTTGCAGTGTTTTCAATCTCAAAAGGTGTGAGGTAAGAGAGACGATTTCAGGTCCAAAGTGTTTTGTGTTTGTGTTTCTTGTGCCAAAGTAAGAGGGCGGATTTTTAAGTAAGGGCTGTTTTCGTATACAAATTCGTAGTTCTTTTATACGCCGCAACGAGGCTCCTCGCCACTTACAGGCATAATTTGTGAACAGAACGACACCGAGTGCAGCTCTATATCTGACATGTAGGCTTCGCTGGGTGTTTAAAATTTTTTTTACTATTTAATCTCGTATTGTGTGCAAGATAAGGTCAGTGATACGTTTTTTTGGTAAACTGTAGAAATAGGCTAGCCTAGGGTGTTTCAAAATGGCCATGAAAATGCTCATTTCTCAAGGAATTGTGTTTTGGTGAGTACCCAGACCTCTCACAAAAGACCACAAAGGAAAAAGGATTTAAACAGCCGTTTTTACATTTCCCAACTTAATTTTGCACAACCCTCACTCTTGCATTAGGGCTGTAGCCTTCAGTCATCTGGCAATGAATGTATGCATCGGATATGTTTCTTGTGGTAAACAAAAAGTATCAATGACCTTATCTGGCACACGGCGGGAGATTCAAAAGTTTAAAAAAGTGTAAAAATACACAGCCAAGCCTCCAAAGTTTAATCATGCCAAATTTAAAAGTTAAAAGTATGTAAATAGTGATGTAGTCGTAAAAAGTATGGAAAGACTCACCAAAGTTGCAGAAAAATACGGGTCACTTACCAATAAATAGGTTCTATGGAAAAAGCAGAGTGGGAACGCTGTTCCTGCTCCACTTTACCACTGTATGTAAACCATATTGTGTTTTAAGTTCTCCTTCAAATATCATACTTTGAAATACCAAAAGAGAATATAATAAATAATTATCCATTTTCAGGGCATAAACTTGATCATTTTAGTTGAAATAACCCCTAAGACTTGTTCAACTAGTTTTCCCAAGGATAAATAAAAATTTGGATACCACTAATCCATATTGATAGGATACCATTTCAGCATCCAATGTCAACACTCAAGTGAATAAAGTCAATAAAGTAGTTGACTTGAACCACCAATAATATAAAAAGCACAGCTATCATCAGTCTAAATATTTAGTTATTGAATAACTTACATTGTCGTTACAGAGAGGTGTAAGGGCGTAGTATCCAGGGGTCCATGCCAAGAGTGGATCCACAAGTGGTACTTCAACGTGTCGACGCAAGCGTGCAAGATTTTTGTCTACGGAGGCTGCCGAGGAGAGAACGTTTTCGATTCCGAAGCGGAGTGTCTACATTACTGCATTGGTGGTGATCGTAAGTGTACCCAGGCTACATGGTTCATCTAATTGTTTAATTTCAGCTGAATGGCTATTTTACCTGCTTTGTAAAGTATCATGACGAGTCCTGACTCATCTTCCGGCGTCGCCGCACGTGTCTCCGGTGATAACACACTGGCAAGTGTTTCAGTATTATTTTTGTTAATCATATTTTTGTGGTGTGTGTGTTCTACAATGGTAACGATATATCTAAGCAAAATCGAATAGATGACGATGTTTTTGTCACACCTGATAATGGCCTCAAGAAGCGTGAAACTATAGTAGTATACTACTGCAATGGACTACTTGAGGAAACAGGGTAACATAAAGAATATACCTTCAAATCAAATCAAATCAAATCAAAATTAAAATCAAAATCAAATCAAAAACCTTAAATTAGTGATTCAGAGGCTACAAAACCTTGACATTAATAATTTCAGGTACAAAACTAAAAAGATTCTGATGCACTATTCCTCTTACAAAATTGATAGTTCTGTGAAACATCGACATCTACACTAAAAAGTTCTGGGAGAGTTATTGAAGAGTAGTCATAATTGTGTTACACATTCTATGGACACTGACTAATCCTCTGCAAAGAGCTTTAAAATATAGAACCTACGTAGTCTGACACAAATGGGTGTGTAAAATTTCAGAGAAAGCTGGACACAGGGCCATCAATCACAGTTCAAAGATATATGTAAACAATCTCTACAATTAAAACAGTAACTTTCTCAGGTTAGCTGCTTTGAAAGTCATTCCACAAATGTTCACATAATGTTTTCAGACACATTACCACCGTACCTGATGATTCCTGCTCTCCCTGTTGATGAAACGACGAGTGAAGCACCAAAAATCACCTCCGTTCGACCATTAGTACCTTTTGAACAGCGAGGCATTGAGCTTACCTTTCCTGAGACTGGCCATCACAAAGTGTTTATGATGGCCAAGAATAACGCTTTCATACAACTTGACGGCAACCGCATAAAAACTTTTCAACTTAGGTGAGAAAAACTCATTTTACTATGCCTCCCTCCCTTGCAATAGATGTTTAATGATTTCTTGGTAGCTACTTGACAAAAAATTACTATTAAAGGCCACTGATTTTTTGCCCTGAAAAGCTAAATTTTAAAATAAACAATTTTTTAAAATTTACAAAACTACAGATAACGGAGAAGCAATCGCCGTAGAATGTTAATGTTTATCCTCATTTGACTTTTCTGCTCTATTTTTTTATCTAAGAGATTTTGGTAATTGCTTTAAATTTGTGAGGAGCTTTATGAAAACTGAATATTAACTATTTAGTTATAATACCCACTTTTAAAATTGAGAAAGATATGGTAATCAAATAGTGCAAGTTTCTCCATTGTAGCAGGCCTTACCAGAAATCCTGTATATTAAATGAGTAGGAGTTTTTCACCCAAAGATTAAGTTGACTGATCTTTGGGTAATCAATATTCTACAGTACTTTAGGAATAAATATGTCACCCTAGTACGGAAAAGGTAGGAATTAGGAAATTTTCAAGTACCAACCTTAAACAAATGTTTTCCATAACAGGTTGTGTCGGGAGATTTCATTCCAGTTCCGCACCAGGCTGCCTCACGGACTTCTCGTCTACCACAGTGTGAAGGATCGGCCGGAGGGACTCGACCCGTACGCTCTCTACGTCATCGTAGAGAAGGGACAGCTCAAGGTCGTCCATGTCTTTGGCAAACACTCTCTCTCGGTCATTGTTGGGGAAGGTTGGTGCACTAAGATTTCAGTATTTGTTGGAATGGTACTTATATTTTAATTTTAATAAACAATCCCATGCTGGATCTCTTTTGGACCTACCAGTCACTTATTGGCCGGTCAATTAATAATGATATCTATTCTATGAAGAGATTGGTGGTGCAGTAGACTCCCTCTTATCCGGACACCTTTTAACCGGACATCGGTTTAACCGGACTACACTCGACAGAAATGACATCTCTTTAACCGGACAATTTTTATCAGCACATTGGTTTAACCGGACTAGATCGGCAGGAAGTGGGCGGTACTGAAACGACTGTTCTCATGGGAAAGATTTGAGACCAGTGATCACATGTCTAAATACAATGTTCTCCTAAATTTAAGTCAAATATCAGTAAACGGTCCGTTTTAACGAGTTTTTGGGGACGTCGGCTTAACCAGAAAACCCGTTATCCGGACTAGCCTCGGTCCCAAGGAGTCCGGATAAGAGGGAGTCTACTGCAGATATTAACAATGAGGTTTTGATTGTTCTCTTACAAATAGCTCAAAAAGTGCCAATAGCAAAGACAAAAACATAATTTATAAACAAATGTCATTTTCCAAGAGGATGTAAACATAAAGTGTTTTTATTGTAGAATCACTTTTTTTACATTGAATGATTGTTTATACATTGCATGTGGGTGGTTTTGGTCTCATTGTTTCTCTTCTAATTGTTCTCTGTTCACCCTACAGTAAGAAGGCCATTTATACTAGGTAATATAAAAATTTACAATGAATAGGAGTTTGTTTCAGAATTCCTTTTTAGTACTACATGGATAGGAGTTTATTATGTAATAGGAAGCCCTCAAAATGCTATTGTTGAGATCGGCTGTTAGTTCATTTTTTTTTTTAATATTTAGTGGGTCGCCTCTTTTAACCTTGCATTGGCCTGTCCACTTGAGGCTCAAGCCTGTGCTAGGAACATACCAAGCACATCAAGAGGTGAGCCGGTAAAGTGCAATGCAAAGTGAACTGCAGAATGAACCGTACTGATCAAATACTGATATACAAGTGTGGCGACACCAGGACATTGTCACGCTACCGAACTAAGCAACACAGACTCACCATTTTTACCATTAACTAAATCTGACATGTTTAACTGACCTAAGAGCCAGACCATCTTCACGGTCCACATTTCAAACAAATCTCTGTCTAGGTTTGAACCGAGACACATGGCACAGTGTCAGAGTCAGGATAGATGTGCACGGAGCTCGTCTGATCGCCAAAGTGGATGATAAAACCTCCGAGGCTAGCATCCCGGGACTGCACAAGTCTACCAACTACGGAGTCTTCACTGACCTGACGTCCGTCGTGCTTATTGGTGGTTAGTTCTCAGTTAAGCTTCAGATTTATATTAAACGGCAATATTTGTTGTATTCGTTGATAAAGCATACACTTGTCATTACGAATATAGCTGTCATAGAGTAGTAGACTATATTAAGCATTATTTATTCAAACAGGGCTGAGTCCAGAGGAGAAGCTACATGGAGTGAAGTACATCATCGAGTCGTTTGTTGGATGCATCAAAGACATGGTGCTGAGTGCTGGTAAAGCAGCGTCTGATCTGCTTCCCATCAAACCACTCATTGCCACCAAACACGACAACGTACAAGAAGGATGCATCAACAAGTTAGTGTCCCAGGTGAACAACGTATGCCTCTCTTTACCATACTAGTTTTATTTATATAGTTTCTTTAGGTAATTTGATCTTTGCTCTGCTTTTGAATTGTTTGAGATTTTTATTCATTTGAGACTCCCTTCTATCAGTTAGTGAGGTTTACTACAAATGCATTATTTGCAGTATTAATAGTTTTCTATTTTATATTCATAAACAAAAATTGATGTTTTTGAAACTGAATTAATAAAATGAATATTGCTTGCACTATCTGGCAAAAGTGAAACAAAATGTAAAAAATGTATGTAATTAACATGTCTCTGTCTTTTTCAGGTGTAAAACTAGGGAAAACTTTTGTTTTGAAGGTAGCAAATGTATAAACCACTACAATGAATTGTCTTGTGATTGTTTTGGAACGGGTTACGAGGGGGAGCTTTGTGATGTTTACAGTAAGTTTTGATTTTTTTTAACTTATGTTATATTCTAAAAAATAGGAAAAATACCATTTGATTTTAGAGTGGTTTTAACATTTATTTTGTTACAGAATTGTTATAGTTACAAACGAGAACAAGTTAGGGCTATTTTCATTTGTTTAGTTACACTATTCAATGTGAATTCAAAAGGCAATGTTTTTTCTAAAGATTAGGTCAGTGCATAATGAGTATTTTAGAATCATTCTTTATTCTTTCTCTTCATTAAAAATCTATGCTAATAAATCCATTTATCAGGTAGTTAAAAGCCCATGATAGATTCAGACTGCTAATTGATTTTTCGAAGCGTTTGACAGATACAGTTTACTGCTGAAAGTTCAAGCCTTTTTGACTAAACACAGGTAATATAACTTATATTGGAGATATTGGCAATTGATAATGAAATGTATAATTAAATTTACAAGTTTAACAAAGCCAATATATATTAATTTTATTTTATTCACTAGCGGTTTCAGAAACTAGGTTTCCATCTTCAGGCACTAGCACACTAGTACTAGTGTACTATATTACAGGAATATAATACAAGGGTTGTTTTTTTAAGTAACAGCCGTTTTTGTGTATAGCTTCTTAATTCCCATGCACGCCGCAACAACGCTCTTTGTCGTTTTCTGCTACCATTTGCAGCTCTGTGTGTATATTTCTGTTTGTAAAAATGGCATTGAAAACATTTTTCCTTATGTGAGAAGTCTGCGTGCAAACCAAAATCACAATTCCTTCCGAGATGGCCCATTTTGAAACTCACTAACCCATTTCTACACTTTACCATATATCATTGCATTAGGGCCATAAACTTAAGTCATCTGGCGATAAATGTCTGCAGCCAATGTTTCTTGCGGCGAGGAGCCTTGTTCGTATAAATGATTGGACACGGGAACAAAGAAGCTATACGCACAACATTATCAATTTATTGAATACATCAATTTTGGTAGTGATTGTACATTACACCTAACTTAGTATTGATCAGTTTCTTATGAAAAGTGCGCTATGAATAGTTAAATTTTTAACGTATCAATTTTGACTTCTCAGCTGCCACTATTCTTACGTTCCGAGGCTCATCTTATGTTTCCTATCGAGTTTACGATTGGAAAGACAGAGTTCATTCCAACATCAACACCATTGGTCTGCATTTTAAGGTTAGTATATCCTAAGTTCAGAATATGTATTATCTTTGTTGAATGCAAAAAAAAGAAATGTCCTCATTGAGTTTATATTTGGACATAGGCTATTGGTGAGAGTTATTCAGAAAATAAAATTTCTTGGTCTTTAGTGTAAAACCAAGAGTGTCTTTAGTGTTCAGGAAATTATTGTACAATTCAGAGACATTTGACTAGTCATAAAAATTCATGTACAGTTCTCGGCTTTTCCAGTTTTCAGGTTGGCTGGGCCCTCTAATAATGAGCTTATTTGATTTTCAATTCTTTACAAACTGATTTACGTGACAAACAATGTAAAGTTAAAGTCAAAAAGGTTGTCAATTTGCCTAGGTTTTGAATTTGCTTGAAAAAGGGATTGGCCAAAATTTCCTTTACTTACCATTGTTGTCTCAGACCAGGTTTGACGACTCAGCGCTGTTCTATGCCAGTGGAGAGTGGAGCAGCCACCACCACATTGCAGCGTCACTGTACAACGGCTCGGTGGTGGTGGAGGTGGACCTCGGTGGTGATGCGATCATCACCAAGCTAGGGTTCGGTGTCAACGATAATGAGTGGCACAACCTCACCATCTCTCACCATCACAGCAACGTCACCATCTACTTGGACCAGGTAACTAACCTGACGATAAACAGAACTTTGATAATGTTAGTAGACGTAAAATAGGAAGCTTGGTTTGGTGTGTTTCAATTCCAGCCACTCTTGATAATGTTGATGTTGATAAAATGTTTCTCTGAGTTTCTTTAGCTCTAACACAGTAGAAGTCATTCTACTGTCTACTAGACTGTCAAGTCTAGTATATCTATGAAATTTAAAATTTCTAAAGAAATACTGATGATTAACACCCCTTCTTTTCCTTTTCTAATGTAATATAGTACAGGGAGCGGCAAAATGATCTGACGGTTTTCTGTGCCACTCTGTCGAGCGAGTGAGTGGCGGAGGGTTGCGGGAATAGGGGCGTTACAAAGCCAACCTGTGGACATTTTTAGTAGCCATGGATCCGTGGGACAGCTGAGCACCATGTATTTGTAGTGGAAATGTTTTTAAAAGTGGCAATTCCTGTGTAGCTATTCAGTAAACGTTTCAATGTGGGTCAAAGAAGAAAAGTCCCAACTCGAAACACCATTTCGCTGTGGGTGGGTAACTTTAGAGCTACTAGTTAAGCATTGAAACTAAAATCTGACTACGTGGTGTGAAACTAAAGAGAGTGAGGAAGACTGCATGAAACTAAAATCTGACTACGTGGTGTGAAACTAAAGAGAGTGAGGAAGACTGCAAGGTGTGGATGAAAGTGTGATTTGTGTGATTTACTCATGACAATTTTGTCACGTGTAAGGCCGTCGACACACGGGCCGCTTGTCGGCCACCTCAGAAAATCAATCACTACTTGTTCTGAAAAAGAGATGCGCTTTGCATAACCACTGGGCTTCAACGGTTGAACGATTGCCATTTTGTATAAATGAAAATGGAGGTCGAATTGTAATACTCTTCTACCAAGTGGCCATACAAGTGCAGAGCTGCAGCATATTTACGTTTAGGCTGCTGAGGACTTACTTCCACGGCTTCTCTCACTCTCACGGCGTTCTCTGGCATCTGCGCTGACCTTGGACAGCCTGTTGCCTTTTTTCAATGCTGAACTAGTTAGTAGCTCTGAAGTTACCTACCCACAGCAAAATGGTATTTCGAGTTGGGACTTTTCCCCTTGGACTCACATTGAAACGTTGAAACGTCTACGGAACTGCCACTGAACAGCTACACTTAAAAAAAAACACTTCCCCTACAAATGCATGGTGCTATCCACAGCTCCATGGCTACTAAATATGTCCGCACATAGGCTTTGTAACGCCCCTATTCCCACTAGCCTCCGCCACTCACTTGCTCAACAGGGCGGCAAAGAAAACCATCAGATCGTTTTGCCGCTCCCTGTATAAATAACAATTGTCTATGGAGGGGAATGAATAAAATGGTGGTAAGCTTGGTTATGAGGGGTTTCCTCAAATTTTATCAATAAAGCACCTTTTATACATATTACAGTTAAGTAATCTAATTTTGAATATTGTTCTAATCTTCCATAAAACTGTTTGACTCCTTTAAAAATGTTATTAGTTTTTTTGTGGCTTTATATGGATTAACTTTTCGGGACTTTCTTCAGGGTTTTTTACAAATTTGTAAGGAACTGGTCTGCTGATTATGCACCTCAGTTCAGAATTGGTCTGTCAATGTAATTGCTTCTATCCTATGTTAATTTTTCAGGAGTCAAGACTAATTACCTTACAAGGAGGACAGCCCCATCTCTACATAGATCCTGAGATATACATTGGTGGAGGTCCTGAACTGCACAAGAAGAGTGGTTAGTGGATAATGTAATTCTAAAATATCTGGTGGACAAGCTTTGCTCAGGGTGAAAATTTACCTAAAAATTAACTTTGTAAAATATCACTTATTAATTTGCATACAATCATAAAAAAGAATTTGCTCAAGAACTTATTTTCTTTCTCGGAACTGAGAAATGCAACCAAACTTCTAAACTATAATTTTCAATGACAAATCCTCTTTTGTATCAAGCTTTAATTTTTACAGTACGAACAAAGAAACAAACCGTAGTTTTATAATAGTGTACCATATCACACAATATATTTTTAGCCTTGAACTTTCTAATTACACATTTTGTGTTCTAATGTATTTCTGGTGTACTGGAAAGAACTATGAGAAGCTCCATGTTGTTGTATAGGCAGGACGGAGTAGCCTATTGTTTGAGCAATTTCCATAATGCAAAGATTGCTTGCTAACAGTTAACCGTCCTCCAAGCAGATACGTGATAACAATGCCAATCTCGGGTTCAATAGACAAGCAGTTCAACAATCAGATTAGCTGTTCTACAGCCATTTAATACTCGAAAGAAGATTGGTTTGAGTTTAATGCAGATGATGATTGTTTGGCAAGAAAGAATTTTATGTTGAATTTCTTTTTTGTGATTTTACTGATACACCCCTTACTGTTAATAATGACTAATTAATTTTGTATTCCATCCTTTAATTAGACAGTCAGGCTAGGACTGTCTAGAACTTTTTTTTATTCAGAGTATTTTTTTTTTGTTTTAAAAGAAATTGTTAGCTTAATTTTGAAAAAAATTGGGATTTTTTCTTTTAATGACTTTTCTGGTTTTTGAGACTAGTGGGTGATGCCAAACTTATTATAAGGTTTTCTTACTGACAACACAGATTTTAGTTATACACCATTTTAATGACTTTAAATACATTGTTAACAGAGATCACAGTTCTTAAGTTCTTAAGTGGCATGTTGTAATTATTTTTTAATCATGATTTATCATCCTATAATTTCTAATTGCGTTCATTGACGTGATATTGTCTAAAACCTGAATAAAATTACAATTTAACTATTACCTTTATTCAAGTTTTCAAATGTTTTTCAGGTTTGTCTTCTCTTAACAACTTTGTTGGATCACTGAAGTACGTTTACTTCAACGAGATTTCAATACTTTACGAACTTAAGAAAGGCAATCCGAAAGTCCACTATATTGGAGTATTGGATCCGATGTTCTTCGAGTATGACATCAAAGTGATTCCGATCACGTTCCCGTTCTCCGTGGCTCACATCCGGTGGCCCATCCACACTCCTGAGTTCCTTCAACTGAGTTTTGAGTTCAAGAGCAGCAGAAGCATGGCTATACTCGCCACTGCAGAGGTGCAGTCGTCACTTGGCACAGGACAATGGGAGGTTTGTGTCTCTGGGTATTTTTGCCAAGGATTTAATTTTTTTATGAAACAATGACATTTGATAAATTGTATGAATTTATCCGTAAACAAACAATCTGCAGCAATTTATTAATTTTATTTTTAGTCCGTAAATGAAAGCTTAGGAAACAATGCAGGCCACTGTATTTAGAACTACTAACTAAAACTGCTCACTCCCACGCACGGGTTCTCCCATGTGGGATCAATTTAGTATATTTTTAAATTATTCAGTTATAAACTTCTAGTGTAATATTATATTCTGTAAAAACTGTAAAAAATTATTATTTTATATGAAATAAAATAAATTTTGATTTGATTTATACTGTAAAATAAATGTGTGACATGTACCATCACCCTAACAAATAACGTAAGGGTGCGGTGGTACCCTTCACCTTCTTAAGACAATTCAATATCAAAATTACTAAAATAAAACAAATATTTTAAAAGTCACATTTTTAAACAAGTTTTCCAAACCTTTTTACAGTTGAGGATGGTGAATGAAGAAATCAGGTTTGAAATAATCCCAGAAATAAATAAAAACATCACTCATTTGACCACAGTGAAATTTGATACCAAGGATGAGTGGCACACGGTAAGTTCTTCATATTTTTTATTTCTAGTAGCTCTACTAAATACTAGATTTTAAACAACTGTTACAACTGTTAGTAACAAAAAAGTTCTTAAGGAATTAATGTAAGTAAAAAATTTATAAACACATTAGCTGATGAGCAATATTAATCGTTGGACTATTTGACGGAGGTATGTAAAACATATTATTGTCTTAACAATTTAGTCCAGGAGCCAGTAACATGAATTTTGGTATAAAAACCTTTGTGGAATTTCCTAATCAATTTCATAGGTAAGTAGCCTAGGACATTTAAACCTAAATTAACAACTTACCTAAATTTAAATCACATCAAAATAATCAGTAAAATTAATAATCTTGATGTTCATGTAATTATTTTATATAAGAGGCATAAGGAAGAATGCATAATTAATCATTTTCTTCCGCATACTCTTTTGAATCATAGCCGTATCTCTCAAATCATAGTTATTGATGAGGATCCAGTTTGACCAAGCACAATTTTTAGGTCGAGCTGATTTACAATCATGGACAAGTAGACTTGATGGTTGATTATAAGAGCAAGACTGCAGATTTGTTTGGTCTCATGTTCCTGCTGAAAGATTCCATAATCATCGGAAGTGGTGTTGGTGGTAAATCTAGCCTTGGTAAGTACAAAACTGTCATTGTCTAAAATTAGTTGGTTGACATGATTATAGACTAAATGGTCATCATCATTGATTTAGCAGCTCTAGTTTTCCAGGTGTGGTGATAAGCATGGTCCATCCTATCGCTTCTATAAGTGAAGGTCTTCTTCTTCCACTTGCTGAGTAGATTTTTCTCTCTCAGCACTAAGTCCTCTTTTACAACCCCTAGCCATTTCTTTGCCAACTCTCCTCCTACCACCAACTTTCCTACCAATTCTTTTGTTACTCTTTCTTCATCCAGATTTTTTACACAGCAAAATAATTCTTGTTTTGCCATTCTGATATTTCTTATATTGTTCTGTCATATCCGAACAATCTCTTTTTTCTTCCTAAAACTGTCTTGTATCATTTTACACACAAAATGCTTGTGAAAATTTGTATTTTATTGTTAAGCTTACCTAAAACCTTATTGTTGATTGTTTTTACACCCCCTTGAAAACCTCTTAAAAAAATAGTTTCAAGTAAATTTTCTAAGACAGTGACATACATATTGGTGCATTTTTAATCTAACTATGAATAATTAAGAGTGGGTGTAGAATGGAGTAAGTTAGATTAGTTGATCTGTGTATACTTTTTCCTAGCCAAAGCCACCTGTATCTTGGCCAAGACAATTAATCTTACCAAAAGCCCGAAGATCAAGGACAGCTAGGTCAAAATTTCCATTGCCATTTAAAAAGCTAATCACTTTTCTCAGGATCAGACCGACAACCTTTAGATTATTAGGTAAGCACTATAACAACTCAGCTACGCATATTTCCAGCAAATTCTAAAACCCATAAAACAAAAACAATACTTTCTAATTTCCCAAATATTTCTGTATAAGAGGAGAAAGCAGAATAGTTAACCCCAAGCTCCTAGGATTAAGAGAATTGGTAAAAAGTTAATGTTTTTCAGGTTTGGTGGGTTGCATGCAGAAGATCTCAGTGAACGGGGAGATTATTGAGCCTAGGTTTGTAATCCGTTCAAACCACACTCAGGGCCATGTGTCATTGGACAACTGTGAACTGGTGGATCCTTGTAAGAGTCCCAACGCGTGCGAACATGGAGGAATATGTTCCGTCAAAGAAGATCATCTCTCCTGCGACTGCAAGGAGACTGGCTACGTTGGCAAAAACTGCCACTTTGGTGGGTACTTAGACACACTCACACTTACATTTTAGGGGTTTTGAGTTTTTACAAATGTTTAACATGCCGATAAATTGTTTGGTAGTCTGCAGGTGACAGTGTCGAAATCAATTAAACACTTCTTTTCACTGTTTTGACCTCGTAGAGTGCCATCTTCAGGGTGACTTGACTTCCAAAGATGATGATGGGCAATTTAGTTCAATCAATTAGTTACACCTGCTGTTTTAGTAGCAAAACAAAATATAAGCAATTTGAGGAGATTACTTGCAAAGATATAAAACCGTTTTTTGTTTTTTTTAGCTTAAAGAATAGTGACAATAAATATTACCTATTCACACATGAGTAAAATGTATCCTCTTAATTTGTTTTCCAACCAAAAGCTGTACTGTTTGTTAACTTGAGCTTTAATGATGGAATACACCGTTCAAAGATGAAGATCAAGGGTTTTTCGGACTTCTCCCAAACAAACTTCAAAAATACAAATGGCCTAGATAACACATGCTAACACAAAAATGTATGAACAATTACGAATACTTGTCAGAAATAGTCTCTACATTAAGGTATAGAACAGCTAACTTGGAAATTGTTTGGTTAAAAAGGTTACGGTATGGCTTATATTAGTTTCAGCATGAAACTTTTGAAGTTTTAACCATTTATTCATAAAACTATGTTACAATTATTACAAATACTTAATACTACACAGTAAAAGGGTTGAATCAACAATAATCATCCCTCGGTTAGTAAACTCTTAAAAATATGGAATGATAAGAAAGAGTATGATTTGTCTTGTTTATTTTTACAGCCAAGTTCCGTAAGACTTGTGAAGAGCTCGCACTACTTGGTTACACCAAGCCTGATGTCTACCTGATTGATATCGACGGCAACGGACGGTTTCCCCCAGCTCACGTCAAATGTGAGTTCCAGTCTTTGGAAGACTCCACTAAAACCATCGTGGAGCATAATTTGCCCAGCCAAGTGGTGAGTAGATGAAACTATTGCTGTGATTTTCTTTTTATTTGTAAAATACCTGTATAATCTTGATATAATGTTTAAGAGCAGTGAAGCATATCATGTTCATGTATGATGTAATGTAATGTTTTACACTGTAGAAAACTATCAAAAAGACAGTAGGCTATTTATTGTACCAACCAATGATGAAAATATCACAATGCATTGTATGAAAATATATTTTTTTTAAATCTAATTTTCATCCTAGATCAATATGTCTTGTTCATACAACAAATGTTCTTGTTTATAAGACATTACAAATAAAAAAGTGCATTCATAGATTTGTAGGGAATTTGCAGATCCCTAGGTGCATGCATCAACCACATCATAGGGCTTTTGCTTCAATGTCTAAATACCTGATGAACTGCAGCTTCTTCCATATGAATGCCTGAAACAAAATGTCTGCCTCTTAATATGCTTACAACAGTGCTTTCCTTTGCCTCAGTTTGATCTTCGTCAAACAGCAGAGCAGTCTCCTCCCACACGACCCACACTCACTACATGTAATATCCCAATCATCTTTAGCAATGCAGGTGTTTTTTCTGTAATACCATGATTTTAATCTATTCCACTCGTCCAATGGAAGGACGTATAAGAAGAGAAGATGAGCTTGCTCTGAAATTCAGTAGCCCTACCCATCTCCTTTTGTTCCTCCTCATCCTATAACACAGCAATGCAAAAATTATATCTTTAGTAATACTGTCCAAGTTTATTTAAAATATACTAATATTATGTAGGTATCAAAACTTTAGATATAAAATGTGACATGTTTTTGAAAGGACGTCAGGAGCTCTGCAGAGACGGACTTCAGTTTTGACATTTCATATCGAGAGTTCAGCTCGGAAATGTTGACGGAGTTAATCTCTCACTCGCTGTACTGTAGTCAGTTCATCAAGTACGATTGCTACAAAGCACCGCTAGAACTACACTCAGCCACATGGTTCATCTCCGCAGCACAGAACGGCACTGTTGACTATCTTGGCAGCGTCAAGAGGGGATCTTGTACATGTGGTGGTGTGTAGAACTATTGATTAAGCCCTTTAGGTTTTAAGTGCTGATGTCACAAGTCGAGTCCCTTTCTGTCTCGACCTAACTTGTAAGCTGCTTTTAAATCAAGCTACGTAAAAAACTGTACATTTTATAAAATTTACATGTTACTCTTATGGAGAGAAAGTAAACTGCTTTAGTTTAAAAAGACTTTTTCCCTTCCCTGTGGCAGTAAAACCTTACTCTTGAAATAGGATGCTATTTAAGTGGAGAATAAAATATCCATTTCAAGTCTCGCTTATGGAAATATTTTTGTAAAAGTTCAATCAGAAATGAAAATATGCTTATCCTGAAGTTTTGCTGCAGCCGAGGTATTTATTGTTTGCCTTTACATTTATATTTTGTTTAGTTTGAATAGACCTATATAATATATCAAATTTGACTTGGTTATATTTGCTTTAGGCTCAATCATTATTTCATTTGATGGTTGCTTATACTGTGTTGTACCCCAGAGTATTTGGGAAGCGAGCTGGTCTAGTGGTGGAATACCTAACTCATGGCCCCTGAGGCCCTGGGTTAAAATCCCAACTGGTTTTATCCAAGCGATAATGCCGCAACCTTCTAGGACTAGTCTGTAGTAATGTGTAAATGGGCCTGGTAGGACCTACGTGTTAAGAGTAAAAGTGGGTTAAAAAACAGAGTATCTGTGCCCATTTGGCCATTTGCAGCCATTCACCTTTGGTTTTATCCTTGTGTCCGCAGTGAACAGAACCTGTGTCAGTCCTGAGCTGAATTGCAACTGTGACATCTCAGAGGCCAAGTGGTTGTCAGACGAAGGCTACTACATCAACTCCGACGGGCTGGGCATCACCAAGATGGTGTTCCTGCAGCAGAAGGATCTTGATGAAGACGCATTGGGAAGGATCACCCTCGGACCTCTGGAATGTGTTGAGACCAGTGAGTGAACATTTACCTTATGCAAAGATGTCTGGACGTACAGGTACCATTAGTAATGTGCCAAACTCTGAGAAATGGGGAAAAATATAAAAATCATTTCACAATTTTTTCCAAAAATTTTTTGTTTACCAGATATCTGCTGAATCTGTGTATTTTTTTCAAAATTTTTTCTACTGATCTACATGTTTGTCAACCCTCCACGGGTGACTGATTTTAAAACACGAGAGATGACTTAAGGCCCAAGTAGAGTAAGATGTTCACTATTTTGTCGTGAATGTAGGAAACATTCACAATCCTTCTGCTGTCTCAGATTTCACTGCAACCAAGAGACGCTTACGATTTCATTGTGAGTGTGACTGTGAAAAATTTGATTATTTTTAATTTTGTTTTGTGTTTATGATTTTCCTGCAATTGCAGTAGTGTTTTAAACTAATTATAGTATAAAAATTAAAAAAAATACACTTATCAAAGCAACCCGATTTTCTCCCAAAACTAAGTTTAGCCCAAGACTGTAAAGTAAAATCTTTTAAACTGACCTGAAGTAAAAAGGTCTGGCCCGCAGACCCGTATTATTATTGTTAAAAATATAATGAAATTTTAATTATTTATTAGCTAGACTCAAAGCCTCCTAGGTCTATTAGCCAATTGGATAGTCAAAAACAAAGTTTTGAGTTCACTGAGTTGAAGCAATCCCACTTTAATTTATAAACCCCCAAAGCTTTAGCCATTAAATAATGAGTAGAGAGGGACCTCTCTGGTGTAAACCGCCAAGGGCCTCATAGATTCTAAATATGGCTTGGTGCTGGTGGAGAATTTTGAAGAGTGAATTGGGCTCAAGTCGGTTCATAGGGAGATCTTGTGAGGTACTATGACTTCTACGACTGCCGACCAGTGAAATAAAAATAATCATATTACCGTACACACTCTCACGATTCACTTAGTGGTTTACCCATTGTCTAAAGGATTTTATTGTTGTAACATTGATGACAGAAGGATACTGGAGTCATAGATTCTTTCAAGAGAACTATAGTAGAAAATCGACAATAGAATATTGTTGTCACACTTTTTCTAGGTAATCTATACCTAACTATAAATCTAACTATAAACGTTTCTGTTTATTTCCTAATGTAGAGTCTATGTACTTACTGTTACCCAGAAATTCGTTGTATATTTTACCAATTACAAAATTTTGATTTCCTTTTACAATTTATTCTTATTTATTATTGTGTTGTTTGGCTTTGTGCAGTGTTATTTTTAAAACTCTTTGATCCCATTCATCAGGATTTTGAAGGGAGTGGGTTAGTTGTTAGTTGTTGCACAGAAACGTTTTTCAGTAATTTTCTCGGCAAACTGTCCATTTATACTCTTCCTACTAAAAACATTACACATTCCTTGTACTACATACTTACAGATACCCAGAAGTATGTGGTAACTTTCACAACGAGTCAGTCGTACATCGAAGTCCCTGGCTGGAGGAAAGGAGACATTGCCTTCAGTTTCCGGACAACTGGAGAAAAAGCAATTCTTTTGTACCAACCTCCAATCCGACCGCACTACCCTTCTTTCATGGTGGCATTGACTAGCGGTATGTATGAATAATAAAACTTATATTCAACAAGTTTGGCTCGAATATTTTGAATTCACTGTCAAGTGATAATTGAATAATATTTTCTCCGATTTATTGAATTTGGGATTTAATTAATTTGAAATTCCACTTTGACTAATTTTACTTATGGAATAAACCTTGGACTATTGATATAATGGCATCCCATTCTTATAGTTGTAGGTAGCCAGTTTTGTAATAAAATTCATGTCAAATTGAGCCACCGACAGAGTGCGCTGGTGTCAATTACTGATAATTAATTATCAAATACGCCAACTTTTAACAAAACTGAAAAGACAACTTATTAATAAGTATCATCTTGGAAGTCACATTAACTACAGTACCGGTAACCAAAACCAAGGGTTATAGATTATTGCAGCACATTCTGTGTGGGGCTTATCCAACTATGTTCTTCTTGATACAATTTTCTAGAGTTGGTCCATATACGGTCTAATTCAGTATCCAAAAGTCAATTAAACATAAGCTCTTTTGGTTTCAGAGTTCCACCTGACTTTCAACTTTACGATGAACACTGGCCGACCGAGGGCGTTGCTGATCAAATCGTCGCGTCGCCTCAACTCTGGCGAATGGCAGAAGATCTGGATAGATTACAACAAACACCACGTCCGCTTCATGATTAACACCGACTATGAGATGGTCGACCTGCTGCCGGAGGAGGAGTTTGGTCCGTTTGAAGGCAGTATGTTCATCGGCGGAGCAACAGAGTATGTGTCATTTTTAATCTGTGTGGTATTTTTAACAAAAAATAACAATTTTTGATATATAGAGTTATGTATAGGTCAGACTCAGTGTAGTTCAATTTTGATATCTAAAATTTAAATTGGTCAAGTGTAGAAACATTACAAGCAAAATGCATTCTCAGATTACATCCTGTATACATGATGACCTAGCTCCAATGAGGTTCAGCGTTGCTCATTGTTTTAAAACTGGATAATCTATCAGAGAGAACTATGAAAGGGCTCTCATCAGTGTTGTAGTCATAAATGTCCAACATGGGAATGCACAACATCGTCTAAGGACTGACTCCGCTACATCACTGGTAATCTTTGACTATGTGATTAAGTCCTACATTTCACACCAAAGCTGCTTGACTAATTAAATCGTCTGTCATTCACCATTCTAAAATCCAATAGTTAATTTGCCCACCTCACTGTGAAAGCGTGTCATTACTTATTAGTAACATCTAGGTAGTGATTTGATGTTTGTATTGCATTTTTGTGTACTTAGCAAAAAGGTTTTAAACTCAAGATTTGATTATTTGATGATTGATGGTGGTCTATCACTAATCCCACTTTCAGACCTTATGAAGAACCTCTGAATCTGATCATAATAAGAAATGCATAAGTATTATTATCTACTATTGCACATTATTGGTTCAGCTTTTGTTTAGTAATATTTATTACTTATGGTATAACTTGCCATGAATTCATTCTGCTTGTTCCGCTGTGCTCCTTGAGCCCCAAAAAAGGTAAAACGTCATGACAAAAAGACGGTCTAAAAATATTGTATGCAACATTTGTTATGGAATAGCTTTCCCTGTCATAGTTTAGGGGTCTCAAAGTCTATTTATGATTATGTAAGAAATAAATAAATTATTATATGTCAAACTCCACAGTAATCAATGGGTTTTCTCATACTATAGTACTTCCCATCTTCCATTCACTATTATATGTCAACCATGTGCAGATAATCTTTTACATTTCAGTGACTTACTGGTGGGTCAATCGGTCCGTAAGGGTCTCATTGGTTGTTTCCGAGGACTTGTGGTTAACGGAGAAGTATTAGATATCTACTCGTACATGAGCGTTCATCTCTCGGAAATCATCAAGGATTGCAAACCGTCTTGCGATCCGAACCCGTGCAAGAATGGAGCTCACTGCAAAGAGTTGTGGAGCACATTCCAGTGTGTGTGTGAAAATCCCTGGGCTTACATCGGCAAATATTGTCAAACAAGTAAGTCAGTTCTTGATAAAAAGTAAGTCTATTTAAGAAATATTTGTTTATATTTTACTCATCATTTTGTGTGGATTTGTGTGATTGCTGCAGCAATAAATAGTATCGTCCAAACCAAAAATTATTGTTTGTAATCGGCTTCAATTGTCATCTTACTTACACATAAGATATTCTTCCTAACCTGGTACTTTCACATAGGCTGTGTCTTGCATAAAATTTGGTATTCCTAAATTTTAAGTGAAGTATCACACAACAACCTTTAGTGTGCCCAGAAAAATGTGGTTTTTAGTATATCTAATCTAATGATAGATAAAGTCAATCTTGTGTTGTTAATTTCAAATCACGTTGACATAAATTGTTAGAAGCTTAAAACACTAAAAGAAAAGGGCTGTCCAGAAAGTAACAGATGTTTCACCTTTGCTCCCTTTTGGGGCGGTGATCACTGCCATTGTAGTATCAGAGGGTTCCTACTCTCAGTATAGATTAAACCTTCTTCTTTAAGTATTTATAGCCCTTATACTTTTTGTTTACTATTATTGATTCTATAGCATTCCTAACATCACATTCTATTTTTAAACTGTTACAACTAACTTGTTTTCTGTTGTTATAGAATGGGAGTAAAAAAACAGGTAGCATAAGTTTTAATTTACCCTGAAATAGGAGAAAAATATTTAGCTGACATCATTACAAAAATGAGTAATCCACTTACACCATTCAAAGTCAATCGTTTTTCCAGGTATAAACGAGAACGGTATCACGTTAGTCACGAGAGAGTCGTTCTTCAAAAAGAACTACTTGTTCAACGTCAGCAGCGATGAGAAGATGCATTACAAGGCTCTGTTGACGGACACCGTTCTTCTTAACCTACGCACTTACGATCACCACTCTCTAATCCTGCATGCTAACGATCATCTTAACAACTTCCTTCAGTTGTACATTACGGGCGGTACCAAGGTGGTGCTGCTCTTCAACCACTTTGACGTGATACACAACATCACTGTTGACTATCCTGGTTAGTTTTCTGTTTTAAAACTAGTTGTATATTTATAATTTTACATCAACCATGCTAACACAAACCTTGTTAGCTAAAAAATTTTATAGTTTTTTAATTCCCTTGGGAAAAATTTCTTCAGTGAGTAAAAAAAATTAACTATACATAGCTCAATATATAACGCTATGAATTTCAATTTCGAATGATTTTTATGTAGATTTTTTATTGGTATAAGTAGTTGGTGATTCTTACTTTTAGTCTATTGATTAGTGTTCTAATTACTTCTTTTTCATGAATTACTTAAATAACCCTGCTACCTAATATTTTAGACATTTCACATTTTGCTACAGGTCTCAACAGTGGCAAGTCAGTTCAGATTGCTGTGGAGCGTAGAGTGGAAGACACTGTGTTACACGTTAACAATCACAACGCGTCCATACCTGTCGGAGTCAGACTGCTTACGGAGTACTCCAACAAACCTTGGAACAACTCAGAAATGGGTACGTGATTTTTACACTGTACAGTGTGAATCAAAACCTTCATGTACAGCTATAGGTTATAGTGCTTGCGTTCAGATCTCAAGGTCGTTGATTCGATTTGATGCAAGACTGTCTCCAGACACATATGCTATTTTTGTCATTGGGCTATCAGTTAATGATGCTGTCTAACAAAAGGTCAACATCAAATATTCACAAGACCAGGGTTCGGATTGTTTCCTTTCAAACAATCGGTTTGCTGCAAGTGAGGAATAAATTTGTAATCTAGAAGATGGCTTCCACGGTCCTTGTAGATTGTCAAATCTAGATCTTCAGGTGATGACCCCATTGTCGAATAAGCTAAACTAGCCTCTACTTATTCAACAATACAGTCATCACCCAAACACCTAGATTATACTATAAAATTGTAACTTTGATTCCAGAGGTATTGGCTCCTCAGAGACCCCCGGCTCCGCCCACGGACTACTTCCAAGTGATCCTCGGAGGTTATGACAGGGACAACCTTCTCCACATGGACTCTGGCACTGCAGTCCTGGACGGCTATATCGGCTGTATCCGGGGTCTCAAGATAGGCAGCGTCCTCATGGATCTTACCAAGCAGCTGGAGATTAATGGGGGTTAGTTGTTAGATGTAAAGTTGGTTTGCCCTTAAACGTTTGAGGTCCAAAGTTGATAAATCAAAAAGGGTGACTTCGCCAAAACTTCACTTAAAATATGTGTGATAACTACGTAACAAAAACAAGTAAAAGCTGTACCTACATGTGCTGCAACTTATGATATAGAATCTACTATGGGACGTAGGGATAACGGTATTGTTAGTGAAGTATGTTGGGTCTGATCGGTTTAGCAGTCTAAGGCATATCTACAGTTAGCACACAATGTCAGAGATAAAAAAACCATCTCGCTCATGTCAGGTGTTCAACTTATAAGGGTCTCACATGTTTGTGGCAGGGCTTAGAGGGTTTGGGCTACCTTAAGTAAACAGACGGCTTGAAGGAAGTTGATAGGATGGGTTGATTCATTAAACTTCAAATCAGGAGGTTGCTACTTTTATCCATCCTTAATGTGCGTTTTTCCACTAAGAAAGAATTATGATTTCTCCGTTCACAAAAATAGCGTAAGGATGAAAATTAATAGATCATTCCAAGGGTCTCAAAGGGTTGACAATGTATTAATTTACTCTTGATGATTGGCAGACAGTGCAGGTATTGTGGCTGGTTGTCGCATGAGATGTGACGAAGTCCCTTGCAAGAACCAAGGTATCTGCATCGAGGACTTTCAAAAGAACACAAGCTCCTGCGACTGCGAGTTCACATCCTACTACGGGGAATTTTGTGGACAGGGTGAGTTTGAGATGTATTTTTGTACGATAATACTAATACTCAGAATAATTTTAATATTTTTTTATGTTAAGTCTATGATGTCAAACTTGCCGTATTGTAATACAGTGTTCTAACATTATTAAATAACTTCCTGATCAGCATTACACTGATCAACATTATTAAATAAACACTATCGGTTATGATGAGACTGGCGACTTGCATAATCTCCTTATTGGGCGCACTACTTACTTTGCAATATTTCTTATTAGGGAAGGTTGCGCTGGGTAGAATGACCTTTGCTTTTAGAATTTTAATCATTCCCAAACAACATGGTTTTCAGCGTGGACAGATAACTACCACAAACTTAAATAAATTCACAAAGTGTTCTGATGGTTCAAAATTTTCTGTGTGGGTGTTCAGTGAGGCTGGTGGTGTCTTTAAAGGGTCAAACTTTGTAATTTTTCAAGGCGTTAGTTTATTGTGTGTTTTTATATTCTGTCGAGCTTGTTTGCTTTTTATAGTCCTCAAGATGTTATCTTTTTGCCAAAGTTTATCGTCACTATATTATTTTTATTATTATATTATTCCATTATACTACCACTATATTATTCTAAGTTATTGTTAGTTTTTTTTATGTGTAACTTTAGTTGATCATTAATCATTGATATTTCCTCCAAAAATGAATGACATTTTGTAAATGTTCTATTGCTGCGTATGAAATAAATAAATAAACATTCAAGTAAACAACTCAAAAGGCAAAAGACCATGTTGACAGAAGTTAACATTACATGACCCACTGAAATAAGACCTGCGAAGATAGGGAAGAAAACAAAATAAATTTGGTAGTAGAATATCTGGAGGGAAAATTTGGCAAGGCAAAATAAAAATACCATTTAGGACATTATGGGTCACAGCAGTAAGTACGAGATCAAAACTAATCGAATTTTGTATTTTATAAAAAACATCTACTGTATTGTTGCAGAGAAGGGCGCCGACTTCAGCGGTGAGTCAGTGTTGCAACGCAAGTTTGTTCTGGAAGGTCCCGTAACTCAGATCAAGGTTCAGCTGGCATTCTCTAGCGGAGATGATAGACAACGCAACACTGTGGTATTACTTCTGCAGACGGAAAACAAGTGAGTCAACTTACAAGAGAGGTTACTGGTTGCATACTGAGATAAGTAAACACTATTTGATGTTTCAAAACTGGACCCAGCTGTCCTTGATTATTGGGCTTTAAATTCAATATCTCAACCCAAAATTGGTACAATTTGAACATTTGAAAGTCCCTCACTCATTCATCACTAATTCTCCAACTTTTTTTAAAAACAAGATGCTCTGAAGACTTTTTATGTGATGACAAATGTTTTTAAACTGGCAAACCTTACAGCCTGTGCAACTTCTCAGTTAATGATTGGTTGATGAAATAATTGAAACCAAACCATCCAATTCATAAGAATGTGAGTTTCTTTATGTTAAGTCCAAAATATTTAAGAAGGTTAAACAATCACACTGTTAAAATCATGAACTTAAGTTATTTGTAAAATTTATATACTCGTCCTGTTAATGTTTCTGTTTTTTGTTTTTTTTTTCAGACGCAGTTATTATTTGCTTGTAGCCTTAAGCTCAGAGGGTGAGCTCATTTTTGAGGAGGATCGAGAGGGTGCTAATAATGCTTATGGTGCTCGAATAAAGGACAGATATTTCCTCAATGGCGCTCGACATTCTGTGTACTACCTGCGCAACAATGACACGGCCATGCTTCGGGTACGTTAGGTTACATGCGCTCTGGTGTAACGGCTGTATAATTCTAATCTAGTCATGTTGATTAAGTACTAGCTAAACTTACCAACCACATGTTTATGAATTAAAACCCAAGCTTCTCCCTCTAGTATTTTTTCTGAAAAGTAGACATAGTTAATGTGCCCTCTGAACTCAGGTTGACAGAGAGATGGTGCCACTGGTGCCCATCCCTGTACTCAGTCTCACAGAGGTTCCAGAAGGTCATCTCGGAGCAAATGAGGTTCAGATCGGAGGTCTCAACACCAGTGATCCTCGCTTCGCTGCATATAAGAGCTACAGTGGCTGTCTGTCCAGTGAGTTAAAGCTTTTTACTGGCATTTTTAAGGTACAAATGACTAATTTAGCTCAATAAATTATTATTATGCAAGATTTTTTTCATTGAGAACTGGATTTTAACCCCGCTAATGCCTTTTAGCTTTGTGGTAATGCCATCAGATTGTTTAGAGCCCACCTAGAGGCTGTAGGTCCACTTATCTAAAAGAGTGTTTCATAGGTTAGGAGAAATTTCTCTGATTTCTGGAACTCTTGATAAATCTAGTAGGGTATGAGAATTGTGTGGGTGATCATGAGAGACTGTGTTTAAATTCACAAAATTCATAGTTTCCTGACTTTTTCTAGTATATTTCATTTTAAAAACTGTAAGTGGTGTGTGAGTCAAAGCCTTACACAGGAAAACCAGATCTCAATTGTGAGGGGAAGCCAAGTATGTAAAAGTGAGTTTCACCTATGAGGCAAGTGCTGGAAAATCACTTTCAGTACAAGTTATGAACAATACTTTTCATCACAAAATGCATATTTCTGTTAGCAGTTTCATGTCCACTACTTTTATTCTCCTCTAAGAATGTATCATAAAGCATCCTTTGTATTCTATTACTAGCTACTAAGAAACAGTTTAAAAAACTGAAACAGTTTAAAAAACTACAAGTAAATTATAATTTTAGATGATTAATCTTGATTATCTTTATCCTGCAGATGTGTTCCTGGAAGTAAACAACGCCTCTATGAAGCCTCTGGACGAGTACATGTTGTTCACCAAGACTGGTAGCGAAGAGGTGAACGTGATGAACTCTCACGGAGTACGCAGCGCGCAGTGTGCGTTCTTTGAGGCCACACACAAGCCGCGGCCCGGCCCCTCGCTCAACGTCAGCCTGGTAACTTCTATTCTCAGTTACTTCTCTGAGACCCATGTAAGGATTTTATTCTCTCGGTGTCACGTGGCATGTCTTCGTGTCGTTAACCCTGTTAGTCAACTAATCGATGCCATCTCATTCCATCTGTTGTGTTGAACGAGTTGGTGTGTGAATTTAGAGTTTGTGCGTGTGTGTATAATTGGGATGAATTGGAAGAGAAACATTGTTGGTCGTACCAAAATGTAGGTATTTTTGGTTGTAAATATATTTTTGCTACATTAATATCTTGATCTTAAACTAACTTATTTGTGTCCCTTGTTTAGTTTTGGTGGGAAATGATGAGTGTCTTTCTGGTGCTAAAAATCTGTACCACAAACCTCTTCAAAAACTGCTAGTTTAGTCGTTAAGTCATTTGTGATACAAAGATTTCCTGTTAGGTATCTAAAGGCTTCATCCAAGTTGTTTAGGGTGGTTCTAATCGTTAGTTTTGTTAAGCTTAACTGTGTGAAATTGGGGAGCGAGCTGGTCTAGTGGTTAGAGCGAAGGACTTTAGTCCCTGAGGTCCCGGGTTCAAATCCCACCAAATCACCAAAGGATTTTAACCAAGTGAATGCCGCAAATCCCTATAGGTTTACCCTGAAGTAATGTGAAAAACAATCCCAGGCTCGTGCCTAGTGTCTTAGGGGGAAAAACTGGGTGCAATGTGAAACAGAAATAAACTTATTTTTATTGTTAGATTGTTACAACATTCTGTATCGCGTTCCGTGTTTCTGTACTATAGTATTTGTCTAATAAATCATTTGAATTAATAAAGAGGAAAATTTAAAATTACATATAGTTATGAGTGCTACGTATGTTGCCTATAACATTTTACAATAAATTGTAAAATAGAGTTACGATTGATGTCGTTCCTACTGTCTTTATTTAATTGTTAATGGTGTCTCCAACAACTTAATACTTACAAATGGTTGTTTATGGCATATAGTAATCATCTCAGTCATATCTTATAGGCATACCAATACACTAACAAAAGTTGTGTTTCCATTACAATAACAAAAAGAGCATTTTGTAGTGGCTTGATATGAAACTCACAATCCACAAAATAGTGCTGTAAATAATCACAGGTCTGTAGTGTAGAGTGTATGTAAATTTATGTATATATTTTGGTAGTTTATGTCATAGTAATTTATTAATTGTGGTAGGTATATCTAAATTAGTTTTAGAATATTATTTAATTTTGGACGTTATCATAATTTGGGTTACCTTTGCTGGAAAACTGCTTTGCCTAGTCTGTGTGATTGTCCTTATGATAGTTATAAAAGTGGAAAGAGCTTAAATATCAAATAAGTCTGTTAAAAATAACTTACTTTATTGCAACAATATAATTTCAATTGAGTAAATAGAAGTCACTGTTTAAAGTACTAATTTTGTAACCATACTGACTCTCAATTTTTTACATTTAAGTTTTGTCAAAACAAACCAGACTATAACTAAACCAATTAAATAATTAAATGTTTCCAGTCAAATGTGTTGAAGGTAAATTAACCAGTAAAATTGTTAATTTTCTCAACAACTTATTTTCTCAGTTTCATTAAATTTACTTAATTTTAAGGGAAAAGACGCCACACTTTCTTGGGTGGTCGATCCTCCGAGGAGAAATGATTATAAGTCTACCTACTCTGACATATCAACAGAAGAAAATGAAACTGGAAAAAGTAAGTAATATTGTATCCAAAAGGTTTAACAAGCATTGTTTTTACTGGTGGGTAATGGAACTAAATGGAAAGCCATTGATTTTATTTTAAAGGTATTCTAAGTAACAGTTTTTTTTAGAAGCACCATAGTACAACAGAGAAAGAAGTTAATTTATTTTTTTTATCTGCCAAAGTTAAAAGAAGCAATAGAAAAGCTATGATATTTGTTTATAAATATCATATATTTTGACTAAACTAACAATAAATTGCACAATGCCGTTATACTCTCCTAATTTACATGACTAACTCATGGTTCCTGAAATTCTTTAGTGTAAAAATTAGTGTATTCTTATTCAAAAACTGGTGCCAACTAAAATCTCAACTCTTCCAGAAATATGTTATTTTTTCAGTCCTCTTTATCATTGCGACCTCCCTCTTCTGCATTGTCATTCTGGGCACGTTGTGGCATGTCTGGAGCAACCACCGGCAGTGGAAGAAACGGCGCGAGCGGCGCACGGCACAGGCCATCAAGTGGCACAACGGCCAACAACTGACACCAGGCACTGCGCCGTTGCCTCCTCTCAAAGTAGTGCGGTCACGCAGCGTAAGTATAACAGCAACAATGGATGATAGATACAGTGCATATATCTGCTTAAACATAGCTGAATAAAAAATGCAAACATAGCATGTCTGATTTAAATGATGAATCATAAAAACTTACAAATTCTTTTAAAGCAACTAAATTTATCTATCTTTTTTTGGAAAAAAATTGAGGGCTTGTAGATTCACAATAAATGTCACAAAATTTTACACTGATATTTAATGAGGTAAGACTTCTTCAGAGAGTGGATTCAATTTATATTAGGAAGAAACAACAGTGTTATGTTTTGTGACCTTGGTTGATGTTTTGTGTATGGATTAGCCCCTGGACACTTATTAATTTACTCAGTTAATCCATAGCTAAGACCTTATCCTTTACAAAAAGAAATCCTAATCAGCTAGCTTTCCCTTAAAAATAATCAAGTTATAAATAATCCTTACCTACCTAAAACAAACAGTTCTTGCATAAAGTTTTTGACCTTAAATGAGGATACTTTGTTAGGAATGCTGTTTGTTGTGTTAATTGATTGTCAGTGACAGTGTATTATTCTTTTTTGTAATTTTCCAAGTATATATTTTAAATCTTTAACTTAAATACACTGGTATTTTTAAAAGGAGAGCCAATTTCCTCATATAATAGGTTATTATGCCATTTTGTACAATGTACAATGTAGAATTAATCAAATGTACATATGCTTATTGCTATAATGCAGCTTTGCATGGCCAAATGTGACAATCATCCAAGGAAATTGGCTAATTCTTTGTAATTACCTTAAGTTAATTACTGCATGATTTTGCACACTTAACCCAACACATGAATGTTCTCACATGATGCCACGACGCCACATGATGTCTTTTGACGTTTTTATGTTGCTTCTTGATTAAATTGAGGCCTTAAGATGGTGTTACAAAAGCTAATGAATGTTCAACAATGCTGTAAAAAGCTTATGTGTGTCCTATGTGTTTATGTGTATGAAGTTTGGGGTGCTGCTCAACAATAGAGTTATTACTATAATAATGGTACAATACCTCGTCAAGTAGTCCAAATGATGATTGACGAGGTATTGTACCATTATTATAGTCATATAAAGTAATCCAGGGGCCATCAACATGGAATTTAATAGAGTTATTGATTGTTGGACGTTTGTATAAAAGGTCATGTTCCATTGAGGGACATTCCCACACAATATGTTTGTTATGGGACACTACTGCAGGACAGTGTTTCATGATTATTGGATGTTCCTGCATAAAATACTGCCCCTGTGTTTTGTTGGATATTGCTGCAGGTGTGTTTCATAAGTATATGTGATTAAAAGACATTGCACGATATGTTTATAATTAGAAGTTACTTCGTTACTTCAAGAAGTCTTTGGTGATTATTGAACGTTGCTGTACAAAAGACTGCGTAGTTCTTTTGGACGTTGCTGCACGTTAGTGTTAAAATGTGTACAAGATTATTAAACGCTGCTGTACAAAATAATGGATGATAGTTTTGGACATTGCTGGACGTTAGTGTTACATAAGTACAAGATTATTGAATGTTAATGTACAAAATATTACGTATGTTTTGTTGGATATTGCCGCAGGTGTGTTTTATAAGTATGTGATTTAAAGACATTGCACGATATGTTTATTATTAAAAGTTACTTCAAGAAGTCTTTGGTGATTATTTAACGTTGCTGTACAAAATACTCTGCGTAATTCTTTTGGACATCGCTGCACGTTAGTGTTACATGGTCACAACTGTTACAAGATTATTGAACGTTGCTGTACAAAATACTGTGTATGTTTTGTTGGATATTGCCGCAGGTTAGTGTTTCATCAGTATGTGATTAAAGATATTGCACGATATGTTTATAATGAAACGTTACTTCAAGAAGTCTTTGGTGATTAATGAACATTGCTGTACAAAATACTGCGTGAGCTTTGTTGGACGTTGCCGCACGTTATTGTTACATGAGAACAAGATTTATTGGTCGTTGCTGTACAAAATACTGTGTGTGTTTTGTTGAAAATTTGCCGCACGTTATTGTTACTTGAGAACAAGATTATTCGTCGCTGTACAAAATACTGCGTGAGCTTTGTTGGACGTTGCCGCACGTTATTGTTACGAGATTTTGAGCAGAGATACACAGATGTTCTGTCCAGGTCTCGGAAACACCTGTTTATTGGGTCAACGGAAACCCTAACAGGAGACGTCACGATCCTGTCTATAAGATACGCAGGTCCAAGAGTGTAAGTGCTTCTTTCACCTCATCGAGCATGCTTTACGCAATACTTGGCAGACAAATGCTGCTTACAACCTGCTACTCCTTTGGCAAGCTGAGAGTACGATCATCAAAACAGCAATTTTTATCTTTATTTAATGAAGTGACAGGTTTTATCACATTATTTTTTTCAGTTTCAAAAATTCATTTAAAAAGCAATATAGTACATATCATTCATTGTCAAGAATAAATAGGTGAGGCATGAGTATATGGGTTCCAATTGTATTTTATTTTACACATGTGTATTTCCATTTTTAAATAATACTGGCTTCATTCAACACTTTTATGGGGAGAATAAAATTTGTAATAGGTCAATTGCACTTTTTATATTGATATTGATACTGACAATACAAAATTTTTGTTTATTAAATTAGAGGAATAATTATTTAATATTTATTTATTGCATTTGCTTTGCTGGATGTGCTGTTTCATTCACTTTCACCATATTACAAAGCTGAAGCTGTTTGGTTGATGCTATAATTGCATAGCTTACGCCTATCATAGAGAAGTAAGGAACAGAGGATACATTCCATGGTACAGTTAAGTGGTGTCTAGGGCAGTCACGCACCACCCCCCTCGCCCTCATGTACTATAACGCTCACGGTGGAGGAAGCTTTGTGCTCTGTGCGATAGGAATTTCCTGACAGTGCTCAATGTTCAGGCTCTTCCTTGCTCGTCACAAGTGTATTACGGCCCCAACAAACCAGAGCTGAAAGGGTACGGTTGTCCCATAAGCTATTTTTCTCTGTACTTTACTTCTCTGTGCTCTAGTTTACTGTTAAAAACAGAAAATAAAAAAATGTTAAATATTGAACTGTAGGGATCAACTGTTTGACCATAAGCTTCTAACTACCTTTATTAAAAGAAATATGAGTATGTAAAAATATGCCAATACTATCCAATACTATCCAATACTATTAATTAATTACCAGCTAAAGTAAATCGCTATTGTAAAACGTCCATATATAATTATCGTCTTGTAAAAGTTTACAGTAGATATATTTTATGATATATGTATAATAGCTTCAGCATATGATCATGAAGAAGTTGATTTTTTTTAGTTGGCAGCCTTTACCTTTACCTTTCATTTGCCCGTCCACATGGGCCACAGAGGCCCTGTGCATGGAACGTATCTAACAAAGGAAGGAGTGAGCCGGTACAGTACGGTAAACTGTACTGATAAAAAGTAGTGGCAGGTAAACTGTACTGATAAAAAGTAGTGGAAGGTACCAGGATCTGAAATATCCATTATGATTGGAAGATATAACACTAACAAGTTTGACCATTGCAGGTTCCTCAGCCTATAGACGAAAGCAAGTTGTTGATTGGAAACGGGACAGAATTGAAACCGGTTTTGAAAACAACCTCGGCTCCTGGAACAGGGGTTCGATTCCGACCCAGGGAAGATGAAAGATCTTCACCACCAAATACTATAAAAGGTAAGAAATAAGCTGTACATGTTTTCTTCATCAGTACAGCATCCTAGTAAAAGCCTCAGTGTTGAAATGAAAGCCCCCTTCTAAAGTCGCGGTAGTTGAGCAGCAATAATTTGTGGAAAGGTTTGCCGTTTGGTATCCTCATCATACTATTACGCAAACAAAATACATAAATTGATTCATAATAGATTCCTATGATTTGCTACATTGTTTTTTTGGTTTCACGTCAGTTGTGTTTTGTAACCACACAATTACATGCTTTGGTCAAAATTTTGTATTTTTAAAATTGATATACCTAATACAATCAGGGGTTTCTCTGTAACGTCCCTTTTTAACCTGTCCTACTCAACCGATATTTATGATTGCGGTGTCATTGTAAAGCTTATGATATAGCACAGGGACAAATTATAGTTTTAAAAATCATTTCACTTAGGGGATCGCTCCCCTAGCTTTGGATTTATTTCTAGAATGTGCTTTGAGAGGTCCCGGTGCTTCTGACTAACTTTATTTAAAACGTTTTAAAATGTGAACTGTAATCTATCATATTTTTACCTTCATACAGTGTAACCGATGAGTTCAGTGGAATTTTTACCATTGTCAGTTTGTAAACAAGAGGACAAACTCTGAACAATGAATTTTAAATCGGCTACATGGCTACATTTATTAATTGTTATAACCTGATTGAGTTAGGTAAATTACTCTTTAAGGTATGGATCCGCAAATCTAATTTAATGCCTTGCCTATCTAATTTAATGGTAGTGTTGTTCATAAAATAACTGTCTTGAACAAACAAATTTTTATAAGTTTTGTTTTCATGAATGTTAGTTTTTTATCATTGAAGTAATCAAAGGTAAATGGTATTGTATTATTTTTTATGCCTTGGACACAAGTTTTTGACCCAATTTAAATGTGCAGTTAGTGGACGGGCCCCTCTAGTATAGTCTCAACTGTTACGTACTTTTTGTTTTCACAAAATTTTGACTTTAGAGGAGAGGTCAGCAGAAGAAGAGGATGAGGAAGAAAATCAAGAACTGATTGACCACTCGTCCCCAGAGGTATGTTAAGAGAAAATCTGTGTTTTCATTTCATTAAATGGATTTAATACGTTTTATTTACATCATTATAATGTTTAGCTAGTGTTTAGGGCGCTTACATTCATCTTGTAGAACATCAAAAATGATTGTAAAATAATTGAAAGAGGCTTACAGTGATAATTTGAATAATTAAATAAATAGGCTTTGAAAGATCAGAACATGTTAAGATGTTATGCCTGATAAAGAACCTTATTGAAAGATTTTTTGGCAAATTGTATACGGTATAAATAAGGTTTTATTCCCTCAGTGGCACAAGTGTAAAAAAGCTGTTACAGTAAACCCCCCCCCCCTAATCTGGCCTCAAATCGTCCAGCACCATCATCCAGTGTCATTCTAAAGGTCCTAACAATTTGTCTGTATGCTGTTAGCTATTTAGTTTCATACTGCATTTATAATTTACAGACAAATGTAGAAGAGGCAGACGACAGTTTAACAAATGAAGAAACAGCTGTTGACATTCCTCCAGATACAATACCCGAAGAGGAAGAGCAGGAATCAGAAGGAGAAGAAAAGTACGAGGAAGTAGAAAATGAGGAAAATGAAGATGAAGAAGATAAAGAGTTGAAGAACCCTATGTTCATAGAGGTGATGGATAGCCCCAAACCCATAGCCAATGGATTGGGACAGAAATTACTGGAAAATACGGTAAGGAGAAAAGCACCATTGGGGTCATTTAGTGAGTTGGTAGATTTTGATAACAACATTTAAATGGGTGTTGATGTTTTTAGTATATAATCAATTTTGACTGATCCCGTCCCCTCCAAAAATGTGCTCTCCTTTCTATTTGTTAAACAAATTTGGGAAAAACAATCAGGCAAAAAAAATTCCATAGAATTAGATAAATAACAGGAAAATAAGGGACAAAAGAAATAAATTGTGCTCAATCAAATCAATAATTGGCTGATGTGCAATATAGCTGGGTACTATATTTTGTTCACCTTTGAGTGAAAATAAATAATCAACTATTAATTACTGTTACTGTAATTTTAAGTTCTAAGAGTTTGTTTTTGTATACTATTGATTCATCTCATATTTGCAAATTATATATTTGTGATTCCACATGTAACCTTTGTCTTTTTTGGGAAATACTTTACATTTAGACATTCCTAATCCTAATGTCAAAGATTTTTACTTATGTCCTCCTGCAAACTTACATTTGTTCTAATTGTAATAAATTATTTGTGTGTGCATGCATGTGTTTTGTGTACGGTAGCTGTAGCATGATGTGTTTTGTGTTGGTGGAGGTATCATTTGGGTTTTCTGTGTCAATTGCAGGTAGAAAAACTTCCTTACTCTATTGACGAACTTGGAAGTATCGAGTTTACTACGACACCATACGCTTGACAGGTATCTATAACGTACACTTTCAATCGTGACAAAAATAATTAAAAGAATGATATGTATAAATGGCAATTACAAAGTTTTCTAAAGAAATTTTACATTAGGATGTTTTAATTTGCCCAGTTAATTGAATTCAGTACATTAATATATTATTATGACATCCAAAATAACATTGCTGAAGATGCAACCACTGAATTACCATGTTCACTAAATGCAGTAAATCGTTACCTACTTTTGTCTGTGTAAGTGATAATTATTGTATTTTCTAAATGTATTGGTTTTAGAACTCTTTTTGGTTATGATTTCACCACATCCAATAAATAGGCTACACACATTCATAACATTACCAAATTCATGAAATCCAAACATATTTTGTTTGTGTTGCTTTTTGTGTTTGCTTTGTTTTAAACGCCCCTCTGCTTCTTTTTGTGTTTAGGATGTGTCTGTACCAACCAATGGAATGAATAATAATAAATTTCCTACAATACTAGAAGTAGATGAATCCGACTTTAAAGGTGGGAACAAATGAGATGTTCTATTTACATAATGTAGTTACTAGCCTACGTGTAATTTCTAATATTAGATTTAGAAACACTAAAGACTCAAAGTTCTTGGGCAGATCTGTTGTAAAAATTAGCTAGATATTTTTTTAGCTTGCTACTTCATATTGTCAGCAGAATTTCTTTTTCTGGTGTTGTACTTACAAAAAATAGGTTATACCTTGTCATATTTGATAACAATTAAAACCAGTGTGATTTGGCCAGTCAAACAAACAAAGTTTAAAATGAACATAACAAGGTTTGTATTGTAACCTTTCGTTAAGCGGGATTGAGTATGGTTGTTAACGGTCGGATTTACACCTCCCACAAATCTGGTTTGAATATTTTAAAATTAAACAATAACCTCAAAAACAATCTGTGAAGAACAGTTGATCTACAATGACAAAGAATGTAACCTATTTATTGGTGCTATTCCACAAATCTCAAGGCCAAACAATAATACAATGTTTTATCTTTTGCTGGTAGAACATCCTATAGAAGTTGTTTATTTTCGTCACAGCCACAGAAAAATGGCAATTGTATCATTTAATATTTTGAACTAAAACTTCCCTATTGAGCTAGTTGAATTGCAGACTGTCCAAGTACTTGTTGGTCTCAGAGTATTTAGAAGTAGCTCAATGTTTGTTTGGTGCTAGGATGGGACTCGGGTTTCTGAAAACTCCACTGAAAAAGGTAAGAACACTTCTGAAATCCTCCGTTGAATTTTACTATCTTTTACAGAATTTTTTTTCTAAGAAAGTTTGGAAATTCATCAGAAATGTATATAATCGAAAAACTAAGTGGACCAATGAAATTACCTAGCATTTGGTTTTATGATCCACCATGTAAAAAAAGAATCATTTGACACATAATAAATACAATTTTTATCTTAAAATAGAGAAATCACTGGAAAATTGGACTGAGATTTTCACAAGGATCAAGAATCTTTCACAGGGATTTTCTAAAAGGATTCAGAATTGCTCATATATAATTCAAATATCTTTAAAATTCCAATATTTTTTAAGATTTAGATATATTAGATTTATTTTACTCCTCATGGGTTGAGCTTATCGCATACTACAGTCAAGCATAGTTAAGCTAAGTGTTTCAAATTTTGAAGTTCATTTTTTAGAAACTTATGCCATACCTTTGGTTTACTGGTACAGTACGTGGTTTCCAAAGTGAAGCTCTATTTAATGTCTCCTATGAAATCTTATTTAGCGTTTTTTTTACTCTGTTCTAGTATTAGGATTATTTACATAATCTGATAAGGAAGACAATAATGATCATAACAGTAATATGCATCATCAGTAAATGCAAACTTTCTCTCCTAAATAATTACAAAAAAAATTATCTAGGTTTCTAGGTAGGATTAAAATATATCTATTACTAACGTTAAAATTATTTGATGAAAATCTTCTAATTTTTGCAAAAATATGTTTTCAACTAAACAATAAGTTGAATAAAATATGTAAAATTTGGTTCACCGTGATGAAGTTTAAGGTTCGTTTATACTATTCAATATACACTTTATTAAATTCAATTTTGAGGCTTAATTGATCAATATTTTCTTTGCATGTACTTGTTGAGGTTACTTTTTGTCGATATGTTGAAATGATATTGACAAAGGAAAAAAATATCTGCATTATTAAACAGAAATATAGGTATATTTCAAAATAATATCATATTTTTAACTTTATAAAAACCAATGTGTAAAAAACACACAAAAATAACGTGTTATAGCTTATCATATTTTAAATCTACAAAAACTTGAAGTTTTAAAACTACCAGAATTTGTAATGTTGGGTGGATGAAAAAACTTAACATTTATTGATACATTTATTGATTGTTTACAGAACCAGACATAAAACCAAGATATCGACCTTTGAAGAATCTCTTCCCAGTAACAAAAATTTCACCAGTTCATTTTTCTTCAGATCAAAGAATGTTCCTAAACCCAATCAGTTATTTGGGCGGTCCGAGAATTCCTCCGGATAAATCAAATGTTCATCTCAGTAAAAGTAAAGAATCAATTGTCTCTGTAGATTGAAGGATAATTCTGTGATTCCTCTTGTATATAAGAAACATTGTGTGTCATTTACAAAATGAGTGCCTGAAATATGTAGTCATTTAATCTAGATGTAAGAATAAAAGTATTATTAGGTGTAGTGTTGAAATAAAAAGTAATGCTTTGTTTCTGTAATAGTTTTGTATCTAGGTAGAAATAAATAATTTATTCTCACCAACATTTCCTTTTTTTATATTTTTAAGATGATAATGATATGTGCCCTATTTGATCTTAACAAGGTTCCTAAACTTTATCAAAAAATATCTTTGTTTTGTTGAAACTGCCCCTTATAAAAATGAGATTTTAAAATTTTAAGGAGAATCTAAAAACAAAAACTTTTCTTGAATATTTAATTTTTTACATAGTGTATTTTTTATTGCTATTTCCAATAAAAGAAACTATGTTGGATTTGATCAAAAATCAAATTTCACCATTAATATTTTTTGAAGGATGCAAATTTGTATTGACTATTAGATAGATAGATAGATCTAAATAAAGTATTCAAATTCCTCCTTAAGTTCATACTTTATTAAAGTAACCATGATGATTATTAACTTTTGTTTGATTAGGCTTTTTATCTGTAGGATGAACTTGTGAATGTTTTCTATGTGTTCATGGTGTTGGTTATTCTTCTCATGTTTCTGTGTAACTTTCAGCAAACATTGCCCTAAACCCACTGTTTTCTTATACCAACTGTTTTCTTTTAACAAAATGTTAGTAAAAGATTCGATGGTTTTTGGAATATTTGTTGAACCAAGTCTTTAGACAAATGTTTCTTTTGTAGTATTATTGTTTTACAAAAAATAATTGTTTATTCTGGTGTAATTTACAGTCTAGAATTTTAAGTATAGAATACAAGTAATGAATATATTGAGTCACCAAAAGTCAAAAATATTTAAAAAAATTAATAATTTGTAAAAATTTATAATAAAACAATAAAACACAATAATTATTGTTTTGTGAACTTTAAAATATTGTAGTATTTTCTTAGAATCTCCATGAGAAATTGAGATTGTATCTGTATTTTACTTAATAGAATTTTCCAGTCATCAGTGAAACAATTAATTGTCCAAATAAACCTTGGACAAATATGTATTTGTATAAACAAATAAGTCAGAACGTCAATAATAAAACAATATTTATTATAAGTTTAAAATTTATTTTCCTACTTATAATTTGTACAAAGCGACTTAAATGACAAATATACAATGCCATGTGTTTTATCACGATTACTAGAAAAATACCCGGTATGGATCATAAACATAAACAAAATGTTGTTGGCCCGAATCCTATACTAATTGAACATATGTTTTAGCAGTTCCATTTAACTAATGTTGAATAATGTTTATTTTCGGGCCAAAAACGTCATTTGTTGATGTTTATGATCCATACCGGTATTTTTCTAGAAATTGTGTGTTTTATGGTTTTATGAATATAAAAATACTGTAAAAATTAAGTTGAGTTTTATTTTATTAAATTTTAGTTTTAAAAAGTATGCATACATTGGACGTTGCTTGACAATCTTTTTTTCTTGAATACCCAGAAAATCTTTACAAACTTATTAATTAACCAAAAAGCAAAGTTAACGAAGTTTAATTCTCTTTTGAAGTCGTCCTTGATTCAGTACTAGTTTTCAATCGATAATTTTCAGGTTTGAAGATTGTAAAAGGTATAAACTCTTTTGCAGGAGGCCATACTGTTTCTGTAACAAATGTTAAAAATTAAAAAAAGTCTTTAACTTATTGTTAAATCATTTTGAAAGGTGATTCTGAAAAGAGTAAAAAGTTGTTTTGTCATGATACTAGTACATGGCTGAAGGTGAAAAGTGTATACCTAATTTTAAATGTTTATCACCAAAACCCCATATGGTTTCCTTAGCTCATATTGTCAGCTGATTGTAGCTAATTTCATGACATTGTTGGTAGTTCCATATTGTTAACTGATTGAAGCTGTTAATGGCTTCAAAATAACTCTACTATTATGGCTGGTGATTTAAGTATTGAGGGAAGGGTGAAGATTGCCTCATGATAAAATGAAGTGGGGCAGTCTAATGTTTGGGTTCAGAATTGGTGGAGAGCACAGAATTAAAGGAATGCTTTTCTTAATGCAATGACAATAAAAAGATTGTCATAATAAATTGATATAAAACTTTCAAATAATTGGAAGTTTTCATTCTAGATTTTCTTGGTAATGTTCCACAAGATTCTATTCAAAAATCTGTTTTTTTATTAAGAAACTGGTTAATAATACAGGTGCATGACGAGATTCGACATGTTCCAAAATGGTATTAATCAATGTTTTAATATACTGTACTTTTTTAATTGTTTCTAGCACCGTTAAAAGTCATGAAAATTATTAATTGAAAATAGGTAGTGACTTTTCAGCCACTTTGTAAACCGCCTTAAGCACATAAACCGAACCTGACAGTTCACTACACTTACGTTCACGTTTTGGATAAACAAGTTTTGAGCACTAGCGGCTAGCATATCAATGTTTCAACTTAAAATGTGGTTAATATCTTTCATGAGTGTATTAATCGTAAATATTGTGCATTTGGTTCACTTGAAAAGAGTACACTACTTTTTTGTTGATTTCTGCTCCCTGACTATCCAACCTATTTCTTACTGGAAGTCCCACGCCCAAAGAGTATGAAGTTTTCAGCAATAGTAATGTATGTTTTCCCCCTTTTTAGAGATTGGCAGTCCCTTTTAATTTTGAATTTGCCTGTCCAGAACATATATAACCACTAACCAGTAAACCAAGAAAAGAGCCAGTACAAGGGTCACCTGTACAGGTTATGAATGGCAAAATTTGCCACTCAACTTTAGACTGGCACTCACATTTGGGCCACAAGTCAAGGCTTCAATATTGAAACGAATTTAAAGTAATCTATCGTACATAAATTAATAGTTTACTGGTAGTACTAACAAAAAATGATCACTTGTCACAATAAGAAATTAAAAGTTATCTCAATTTTTCTGTTTAGAGAAGAATCAGCTATAGTCTTAGTCAGTAACAAAGCTACACAAAGCACCCCACTCCATTCTACATTCACCCTTCACTCACATAAAATACACCATTGTAGCATCTTCACGAATGGTAAAATCTGGATGATGTAATTTAATTTAAAAAACACATAGCTCCAAGTTCATGCTGATTGATTCACGAAATCCTTTGTGGTTCAAGTGCCACCTTGATAGTACTAAATTGTTACGACTGGCAGAAATGAACAATCACACCGACCAAGCATTCGTCTGAGGAATCAACTGAAGGGCTTACCCTGGTACATCCGGGGTTGTTGCACAGTTCGATGCGTCTCTACAAACATCCGCAGATCCTTGAGTGCCGGAGTGCTCAGGACAAACTCCAGCCGAGCTGTCTCCGGAAGGTTCGTAGTCATTCGGTCAGTCAAGTGATCCATAGTCATCTGCCTCATCGCTCCCTGGAACAGATTTACAATTACAATTAGTTACAATTTCTGTTGTACTGTGTGGTTCAAAAGTTATTCAAACTTTTGTGATTTTCTCTATAAATCATAGGTAAACTCCCACCGCTTGAATTCCTACAGCCACCCATGATAAAGGTTGTTGACAAGCTAATGGGAGAAAATATGTGTCAGATTGCTGATACTGTTTATTATGTGTATATGCCATCGCAATTTTTTTTAAGGGAATGGTCTAAACCTTGGTCTTGTTACTATCTAACGTCAACCTTTTTGTTAGATAGCATCATTGTTGGGTGATTGTTTTGTATGTTAACTGTCTCAAAGAATTAATGATTGATAAATAAATGTAAAGATAACACAGACATTTATTTATGACTACAGCTTCATCATAAAACCTAAAAAGTTCAGTCCAATGACAAATGACATCTGGGTTTAGAAACAATTTGGTTGGAGTCAAATCAGCAGCCTTCAGATTTGAAGGTGAGCACTATAACAACCCAGACAACTCCTCTGTGTATTCAATAACCTAACGTTCTCACCATTTAACACTAAAAGTCACTAATTATTAGAGATTTCTCCTTACAGAAGAATTCTCAATGAATACATATTTCAAATCAAAATTAAAGGCTAAACAATGCTTCAGAGCAAAATAAAACGATCATGTCATCAAAGATCAAAGAAAAATCTGTGAAAATCTCATTGGACTGATCTTTTTAGGTTTTGATGATGAAGCTGTAGTTATAAATGCCTATGTTATCTTTACATTTATTTATCAATCGCTAATTCTTTGAGAAAGTTCACAGTTTGGTGTGTAAGTTGAATATGGATGCAAGATGAGTAGGCCTGTTATAGTGAAGTGAGAAGTCTGTGTAGCTTTGTTACTGACTGAGGTTGTTTCATTAGCCCGGATAATTGATTACAAGCCCTATTATTAATAACAGCTCGGCCCAATTTTGAACTATCAGGAAGCTACTCACTACAGTATTTATAAAATAAAATTCAAAGTGTATTATTGTCATATGTCCTGGTTGACCTTACCATAGTATGGAATCGCAGGTGGTTCCACAGATTGTAAAGTTTAACGACAATCATCTTGATTCTACGACTGGTTTCCTCCACATTGGAAACATCGAGACGTTCCAGCAGCGTTTGTGGTTGTGCTTTAAAAATTGACCAATACGAGAGAATCCTCTGTGAAAAGAAATAAGACTTCATTGTTGATTTTAGCCTCCTAGTTGCCAAATAATATTAAAATACCCCCACCGCAGCAAACCTGCAGACTAAGCGAATTTCCATTTGCCTGATTGGATTTACACTAAATTGTCTCCTTAAAAATATCACATTTATTCCCTATTTAAATAGAATTAGTTTAACACATACTTAGGTTTGCTGCAACAGGGAGGGTAAAATTGTTTTTTATGTAAAATGTTAATAGTTAGTAAGAAATAAAAACATTTTCCAAATTTGGGCAAAATTTGTTAATAAACAAGCAAACTACAACAGTTTACTTATTCACCATAAGAATAACATGAGAATTTTAAATTTACAATTTTTTGAAATTTTCTCCGTAACCATTAGGCGCATTATAACGCTTCAGTATACTAAATTATTTGTTTTTTTTAAGCTCTACAAAATTGTTTGGAAAGAAATTGCAAAATTTTATGTTTTTTGGGTCGAAAATGAGAAAAACCCATTTTTACCCCATAAAAGCCCCCAATAAATATTTATAGATAAAGACCCCCTTATGCCTCACGTATATGCCCTTATGCCCTTATGCCTTATGCAATAAAGACCCCCAATAAAAGTTTATAGCCAATAAACCCCCGTTCCCACGGTCCGATCATGCTGGTTCGCGAACTCGTTTGAATAAACGTAGGTTTAAACGTTTGTACCAAATTTCATCAAAATCGGATCATTTTTGCTCGAGTTATCGTGCTTACGGACACATATATATAAATATGTATATTTATATATATATATATATATATATATATATGAATTTGAACGAATGGTGTTTTTGACCTCTAGGGACCTCAAAACGAAAAAAAAATCGGTCCCGGGTCCAGGTCTTACCATGAGTACTACGGTAATAGCTTATTCCCTATATGGGAAATTTGCTAAAAGGTAGGCCTACCTGCTATCAGCGCAACTAGTTTCAGCTCCTACATGGAACCATAGATAAAACATACACCCTTAGTTGTTTTCTCAAAAAAAAAAAAAAAAAAAAAAAAAACTATTTCAAGTAGATATATTCTGCTTTTAGAAGCTAAATGTAAGAAATGACTATGGTCCTGAGATTACCTTAGTAAAAGTTTTTTTTTTCAATTTAGGGCATTTTGGCTCTTTTCTTCTAATTTACTAGATGTCAAACCCAAACCTATTTCTCCTGCAAACGTCCACCCTGCAAACGCAAAGAATTTTCTTTCCAAAAAAATGTTACACACAAAAAAATAACTCACCTGTGCAATATGAGTGACAAAAAGTAAGATCTTGATTCTTGGTACACATTGACCAATAACATGCGAGTCCACCATCTCTTGAAAATGGCGGAAAATACTCTCCTCGGAACCCTGAAAAAGTGTACCACAGATATTTATGTACAAGAAGTTATTTCTGTCAATAGAAATCTTGCAATTTTTGATCAGGATAGGCCTTCATTCAAGTTTTATAGCCAATAATCAATTTTCAAACTACCTGGTCCCAGTCAATAACACC